GAAAAACAACAGAAAATAGCCAACAAATTGTTGTCATTTTTTGTTTACATTTTCAAAATGATATCCAACCAAGAGCGAGTTAATGACTTAACCTGAAGAGAGCAGCAATTCACTCATAGTGTCGTACATATAATAATAAATAAACTGAAATGTGCAGATAACGAAAGAAAAAGAACAATTATGACTGAAAGTTAAGAAGGAAGTAAAGTCTGGGTGAATAAAGTTGTTACATATAAAACTCCACAGCTTTCCAACATTACCTTTGACCGTTAGAAAAGAAAGCATGATATGTATGTAGATAACTACATACAACTGTTTTTTATATACATTTAACATAGTTTTCACATGATAAAATGCCATCTGCTCATTCACATATAGCTAGCATGTTCAAATATTAAACCAGTTAAATGATGCTGCAGGCTGAAATCTGTAACTTTACAATATATTGTTTTATTCTATCATTTATTGTTGGCTATTAATTATTACATACTGTAGCTCAAAATTGCTGGCAGGCTTAAACAAAGTTCCACAGGTTTTTTCATGATGGTAATTCAGTTGTTAGTGAACAGTGCATCAGAGTGTCAGAACATTTTATGGTTCAAGCTCTTCACATTTACATATAGGCCACATTTAAGCCAGTTAATCCATCATTAAGTCGATTAGTTCACATGATCAGATTTTAAAATATTAATTTTTGCAGCCATAGTGCTTTCATAATTTTTTTTTTTATTAAAATGTTTCCAGTGTTCCAGTCTGATGTAGACACTGGGTAATGCAGGGACAGTGCAGTTTGCAGAATGCATGTAAAAGTAAATGTCATTTTGGTAATGCTCACTAATAAATTTGTTGATTTTTATTTTAGCACCTTTTATGCCCTCATTTGGCTGAATTCTGCAGAATAGATTTGGGAGAACTATAACTGCCTCATTTTAGTGTGACACATATTCAGCATTTCAGCACTCTCTCACAGACCTCAGAGCACGCTCAGAGCACCAGCCTGCACGCAAACGAGTGGAAACAGCCAACTATCTGCTCTCCTCCTAATGCAGTATTGACCCAGCCACCCTTTTCTCTCTCTGTGTCTCACTGCAGTTAATGCACTTTCCAGTAAGATCACTTCAGCTCAATTCCCCCCTCAACTGTGGGCTTCATGGGCATCCTCCCATAGCTGGTTTGAGCTAGGAGGCTGAGCTCTAATCAGAGCCTCTTTAATCTGCCCTCTCTCGCTCTCAGCTGTCTCCATCATCCCCAACACTGCCTCTCCCTCCATCACAGCACAGTATAGCAGCACAACAAATGCTGTCTGTCTTTGAAAGAAAAGAGGACGGTTGCTTGTGTCACAGGATGTTTCTGTCATGGATGTCATGTCACATGGTATCTGGGTCATGGCTGTGGAAAGATGGGTTAGGCAGTAGTTAAATAAAATATATGTGTTTTTTCCATTGTGGCAAGACAGATGTGTCTGTCCTTGCTGGAGAATTCCGCAGAATTTTCAAAATTCCTGTTCAGTTCTATTATTGAGATGTAAATGAAGAGTAGTTTGATGAGAAATTGTTTACTGTAGAGAAGTTTACCGATTTAGATTTCTTTCCAGTGGTGGTGATAGGGACCAGGGGTTGTAATGTCTGTAACCATGAATATAGCTTTTTTATTTATTCTCCAGAACATCCACAGAACCTGAATGTGTTCTGAGCTTTAATATGTAATGTTAATAACGGTAAAACAATGGTAAATCTGAAAAAAGAGGTTTATTTGAGTACTATTTTGCTGGACAATGTCCTGCATGTACCTCTATGTACCTCTACCCACCATGAATGGATTTTTAAAAATACTTTTTATGCCAGAAGCTTTTCTCAAAAATATCATAAAACAAAGTCTCAGGCGCCAGGCAGCGTATTCACAACCATTTCATGTAATACATTTCTATGAGGTAGCTTTTAGAGGCATTAAAGGAGGATTCCACCATTTTTCAAAATGTCTGCATCATTCCATCTCTGAGATGTAAACACAGTAATTCAGAGTGGTTTAGTGTGAATTGCCATGCATTGTAGAGAACTTTACTGACTCAGATTTCTTTACAGTGGTGGTGATAGGAACCAAGGGTCCCATTGTCTGCATTGCAAAAACAGTCATTTTATTTACTACTCAAAAATACAAGAGAACCTACTGAGTCTTCTGAGTTTGATATGTCAACAATGGTAAATAGTTTAAAATCTGAAAAAAAAAACGTTTTCTTTGGGTAATATTTTATCTTACAGCTCACTGCATGCATCTCCTGCCCATGAGTATTTTAAAAAACAGCGTTTTAGGCCAAAACTTAACTATTTCTTAACTAAGTCATGTAATAACGTTCTGTGAGGGAGCTTTTAGGGACATTAAACTCTTTAGATGCCTGCTTCCTGTCAACCACTGTGAACAATTTTGACTCGGTACGCTTCTCTAGAACAGTGCATTACACCTGAAACCATTCTGAATGATGTTCTTCATTATTTAATTTTACAGAAATTAAAATCTGGGGAATTTCACTTGAAAATAATGGTGCCAAAAGGTTTAATGCTATAAATGGGCCACTTTTGATTTCCTTGAGTACTTTTCAATGGATTTTTAAAAAGAAGAACAAAAGAAGAACAAAACCCCCTTTGGCTCAAAATGCACTGTCCTCTGGCTTCTATTATAAGTATGTTTTGAGTCAACAAAAACAATTTTTCTGTTATTTTACAGTAACTGTACGCTACAGATACAGCAGAAAGAATCAAAATGTGCTTGAATATTCCTTTAAAAATTATCCATTAAGAGATTCTTTAGGGTTCTTTTGCTATATGTTATATCCTGTGTTAGTACATGAATGTATTTGTAATGATCAGTTTGCTACTTGTCAGCAAATTGCAATGCAGATTAAATTTAAAAATGAATAGGCCAACATCTGCCCTGCGTAGGAGAACAAGACTACAAAGCAACACAAGAAATACAACTCAATGAAGGTTGTAAACAGTGTTTAAGCTAAAACTATAACATTGCTTAGTGGGAATGATAGTGTTTTTGTGCATGTGTTTGTGTGTGTGTGTTCGTTCGTGTGTGTGTGCGTGTGCATGTGTGTGTGTGCGTGTATGTGTGTGTTTGTGTTTGTGTTTGCATGCACGGGTAAAGGCTGGGAGATTCCTCCCACGCAATCTTCCATCAGTGAACTGCAGCAAGTCCAGTGTTCCTCACGCACACCACACATAAGCCACAACTCAGTAATTACTTCAGTTCTAAAGAGCAGCACATACAGGAGCACAGTGCTGTCCTCTTGATCAGTGGTAAACACTGACATTCATTCACACATTAAAATAACAGCTCACTGTTAACAGGGAGGGCTATAGCATGCTATCACTGTGCTATTAGGATAATCACATACCAGGGTGTTAAGTAGTGGTGGCAGATATGGCAAAAATATAATATCATGATACTAGAAGACATTTTTACCGTACATATTGCAATATTTGTTGCAACAGACACAATTTACCAGTAGTGCCACATTAAAAAAATGATTGATTGAAATGAAATTGATGTTTCATCTTCTAAGCGTTAATACATCCAATCAAACAGAACTAATTTGGCATCACTGAGGTTAAAATTGTGATCTGACAATGAGGCAAAACCTTACACAGCTGTGCCACATGGGAGGTATAAACCCCTTTTTTACAATGTGCCATTGTTCCATGTTCAAGAAATACTGACACTATCCTCAATATACTCAGAAAAGAGTGTCCTGACATAATTTACAAATAATGATAACATATTGTCATATCACCCTCGTCTATGGCAACATATGGATCTGAGGAAATAATAATAGGCAATTTGTTTACTGTAAATGATAGTTGCAACACTTTAAGGACTGATATGGTGAAAAAAATCTAATTTACATCATTTTCAGTTTGCACAGACCTTTTGATGTTTAGGACACAGTGTGACTTACTGTGAACTATACAAATGCACAAAACCTCTTTGTATTTTAGACAACAGAATTTTGCTTCCCCCTCAGAGTCCCATTGCATGTAGCATGTCATTCAGGCATGTGGATGATGTCATGACTGGCTCAACATCATGACAAATAAAAGGGAAGCACACAGTGAATAAATGAAAAATGATTTTAATAAGAAATAAACTTAAGGATCTGGTGCAAAAATCTCAAGGACGAAACTGTAGGCCAAAATAACTCCAAAATAAACACATAAACGGAAGCATAATGCCCAAAAGAACAAAAGAAAACTGGCCCAAAAAACCAAACTGCCGGGGACACAAACAACAAAATGGCACAGGCCCGTCACAATGATAAAATACATTATTGATTTCTGTTGCTTCTAATTATAAACACATAAATAGCCACATGCCTGCGTGACGTACTTGTATGCAAAGAGGAGGTGGAATTCAGCAAAATTGCTAAATGCCACATCATTCAGCTACACAGTGAAGTTTGTATAATTCACAGTAAGTCATACTGTGTCCCAAACCACGATGCTGACCTTAATGAAAACCGGGATGCGGTTTGAGAGAATTAAGAGAACTTTTGATGGATGCATTTATGGAAAAATTTGGGTGCCTGTTGACTTCTAGTGTTTGTTAGCTGTATTAGCCTCATAGCACCAGCACTACACTAAGGAACAAAATTTGGACACCAAAACATTTTTTAAAGCTGTAGAAGCAATAAAAAACTCCTTATTAATAATGCATTGCTACTGAAGTGTGGATTTTTACAGACGTAATAACGTGACTGTTAGCACTCCGTATTCATTTTGGGAGGAATAGCATCATCATGATTTGAAAAGTAGTCATTGACATTCAAATTTGTAAAATAAGCAATGACTACATGTAGTTTCACGCACTTGGTCCCAGTTCTGCGGAGGCTGTGGCTGTAGTCATTAGTAACACACTGTACTTTCTAAAAACAAGGCCATGTTGGAACAATACAGGTATCTGAGCTGTGAGGTGGATGTAACGGTGAGTCATTGTGTTTGCAGGGTTCAGCTGATTCCTACACTAGCAGGCCGTCTGACTCAGATGTGTCTCTGGAGGAGGAGCAGGTCGGCCATCAGGAGCGAGAGCAGCAGGCCACAGTGCAACTTGAGAGGGCGAAGGTCAGACAGTCACACCTACTCATCCTTTTTTTGTGCCGCACATCATTCAGAAATGCTATTAAGCATGTCTTGGATTTGATTTTTATATTGCTTTTGCCATGCATGCTCATGCATTGTTAACCCATTTGTAACCTGACTTCCAGTCAGTGCTTTTACTGTAATGTGCGCGGTGTGGAGGCAGGACACGTGCGCACAGTTCGTTTACTGGAGTTAATGTACAATGAGATGTAACACGCTGGGAGATCCATGCAAGACACCAAAAGTAGACTAAGCTAGAAAGAAAGACAAGGAAATATACAAGACACAAAAACAAACACAAGGCATTAACAGATGGACTCACTAAAGGGATGGATACAAAAACAAACAGCACAGGCTACTACTGTCCAAAAGTTTCTAGACACCTGCTCCTCTGAAATCAAGGCTATTAACAGGAAGTTTGTTCCCATTTGCAGTAACAGCCGCTACTCATCTGGGAAAGATTTACACTAGATGTTGGAACATTGCTGTGAGGATGTGATTGCATTTAGCCTCTAGAGCATTAGTGAGGTCAGATACTGATGTTGGATGATTAGCTCTGGATCACAAATGCCAGTCCAGCTCATCCCAAAGGTACTGGATGGTGCCCCATTACTCCAGAGAACACAGTTGCACTGTTCCACACCCAAGTGCTGGGGGGGCTTTATATCCCTCTAACTGATGCTTGATATATGAGATGGTGACCTTAAGCTCATGTGCAGCTGCTCCAGAGCATCCCATTCTGTTAGCCATGCTTTTTTAAGGGAAAGCATGTACACGTACAAGCTGTGTACAAAAGAACTCCTGTGTCAACAAAGGGCGTGCCTTAAGGTAGCCAAATGCACTAATTAGAAAGAGCGTCTTGATACTTTGGAAAAATTATGTTTATAAAGAACTGAAAAGAAAGCTGTTGGCGATAAAGACAGTGTAGGGTTACACATTAAACTCAGGTGAGCACAATGGCACAGGAATGGAGCAAGGATGAACAGGAGGTGACAAGGTTAGGAGCACAGCATAGACTGTATGGGGAGAATGTGACAATATTTCAATAATAACTCTTATTTATCCTTGATTTCCATGTAGTTACTGAACATTAGTAATCACTAGGACATGAACAAACAAATGAGCTTACAAAAGAGTTATATAACTAAGGGAGGCACACTGTGTTCCAGGCCAAAGCAGTGGCCTTTGCCGTGAAGACGAACGTCAGTTACTGTGGTGCTCTGGATGAGGATGTTCCTGTGGCTGGAACTGCCATTTCTTTTGATGCTAAAGACTTTCTCCACATCAAAGAGGTAAAGATACACTCTTAAAAAAGAGAAGGTACCACAGAGGGTTCTTTCAGTAATGCTATAGAAAAAACACTTTTGGTTCCCTAAAAAAACCATGTTTCGTGTAAAGAACTTTATGAAGGTATTAAGGACCTTCACATAATGTGAAGGGTCTTTACCAACTTAGGGGTTCTTTTTAGAGCCTTTACATTATGTAGAAGATCTTTAAATGTTAAAACGATTTTATCAAGCACACACATTTCATCCACAATGGCTAAAGAGCTATCCACTCGTAGGATCTTAGGGGAACCAAAAGTGGTTCTTCTGTGGCATCCTGTAAAGAACACATTAAGGAACCTCTAGTGTAGTAAGTTTGGATTTAAAAATACAACACTAAGGGTGTGTGGTGTCTCTGTTCTTAGTGGTTATTATTTTGTAGAGAATTGAACTAATTCCCAATTTTCTGTATGTTTTCACAGAAGTACAACAATGACTGGTGGATAGGGCGACTGGTGAAAGAGGGTTGTGATATTGGTTTTATTCCCAGCCCTTTAAAACTGGAGAACATCCGTCTCCAGCAGGAGCAGAAGAGAGGACGCTTCCATGGGTAAGAGTGTTTTCAGCCTGATGGTGTCCACTTGTACTTTTTCTTGCCGCGTTCTGCCACACTGTATCTCTCTGCTCGCCACTGGTGGGCGTTTCTATGTCGTTATGGAAATGAAGGAACCATACCGAACATATCTGGGGCAGTAAACAATCTGATACGCTGTTTGCTGTTGCACAGCAGCTTACAATGAGTGAATGAGAATGATTTTTTTTTTTTAGAATGCATCAGTCGTCCACACAAGCTAGAAAATCAGCTCCCTCAATCTCACTAGAAAACTAGCCACCTTAGCAAGTAACTGATGAGCTCTGTATGGTTTAATTTTGCCAGATTGAAACATGTGAACTTCATGAAAACAAACATCTTCCCTTCAAATCTTTGCTGCCAGCAGTTTTGTATAAAGACAGACATTTTCATTATTATGTAAAACTGTGATGGATTCATTAAAGAGAAAGAAAGCAACTCATATAAATCCTGATACATTGAATAATACATTAAATAACACACAATATCTAATTTTAATCCAAAGATATTTGGAAGTTTAGATGAACATATAAATAAGACATAAATAAAACATAAATAATAGGCCAGTGGGCTTCACAGAATAGGAAAATCCATTCCATTTAACTGATAACAGATTTCTAATGAACACTTCTGTTATGTAACAGTTAAGGATGATTACCCTTTTGGTTGTGTTTCTGTTCTTAGAAAAATACTTGTTGTTCCTAATTTTAGTTAGTTTTTTTTTTTTCTTTTTTGCTCCTCCAGTCTGATATAGAGACCATATTCTCTTTCTGTCTGTCCAAAGTTGATTTTTTTGTGCCTGGAATGGATAGGTGCATTTAGCTTTGACCCCTTTCCATTATTTCTGCAGAGGTCATATATTATTATCATTTTAAATTCAACTGTTTTCCATAGCTTAATTTATTCATTCATTCATTTGAAAAACAGTTTAAAAAGTGGAGCTCTAATGCTGCCAGCTATCCAGTTTTAGGGGACTATGGCATCCATATGCTTTATGTTAGATTGTAATGTTACACTAAACTGATATAGTGGCCATACAGAGAACCACTCTGATTGTTTTTTTTTTGTATATAAATATCTGACAGTGAAATTAGGATCATCACAATTTCCTGACTGTTATGACGCATGAAATGAATCTGTGAATGAAACCTGACTTGCGGGGTTCCCTGTCAACATCAATAATCTTCTGTGTTCTGTGTTGAGTCATGCACTAGTCATCCCTCACCTTTTCAACTGTTTGTTGTTCTGTAAAAGAAGTGTAGCTGTAACCTAATGATGTAGAGGGTTATTTTTGGGTCTGTACAACCTGTGTGTTGAGCGTCAATCTTTTCAAGCACCCTCTTAAGCAAGGAAATGGCATTTGTTTGAACAGACATGCTTTCATGTAGACCTGTCTACAACTTTTATTGTGTTGATTATTATTATAATTATTTTCAATTATGTTTGTGTCACCTCAATTTTTCCATTACCTTCCCTGCAAAATAAATATTGTTAAAGCTATACTATATGGCCAAAATGTGTGGACACCTGACCACCACACCTAGAGGAGCTTGTTGGACATACCATTCTAAACCCATAAATATGGGCTTGGCCCCCTCTTTACCATTATAACAGCCTCCATTCTTCTGTGAAGGCTTTCCACAAGATTTGGCAATGTTTCTATGGGAATTTATGCCCATTCATTCAAAACAACATTTGTGAGGTCAGGCAGTGAACAGTGTTCAGTGGTATTGAGGTTAGGGCTCAGTCCAGGCCACTGGAATTCCTCCATACTAAACTCATAAAACCATGTTACTATGCATTCTGGTACGAGGTGTTCTTGCATCCACCAAACTCAGATTTGTCCTTCAGACGGCCAGATAATGAAGTGTAATTCATCACTCAAGAGAACGCGTTTCCACTGCTCCAGAGTCCAGTGGCAGTGTGCTTCACCCCACCCTAGCTGATGCTTGGCATTGAGTATAGTGAATTTAGGCTTGTGTGCAGCTGCTCAGCCATGGAAACTCATTTGATGAAGCTTCCGATGCACCATTCTTGTGCTGATGTCGCTCCCAGAGGCAGTTTGGAACTCTGTTGTGAGCAATACAACAAAGGATTGAAAATTTTTACATGAAATGCACTTCAGCACTCGGTGGCCCGGCTCTGTGAGTTTGTGTGGTCAGCTGCTTCATGGCTGAGCTGTTGTTGCTCCTAGATATTTCTGTTTCACAATGGTATCACTTACAGTTGACCAGGGCAGATTTAGCAGTGCAGAAATTTCACAGACTGACAAGTGACAAAGGTGGCATCCAATGATAGCTCCACATTTAAATTTAATAAGCTCTTCAGTACAAAAAGATTGCATGGCTATGTGCTTAATTTTATATTTCTGTTAGTGATGGCTGTGGTAACACCTGCACTCCAAAATTAGAAGTGGTGTTCACATACTTTTGGTATATACATATAGTGTATAAGAGCAAATGTTTTTTTTTTAGACCTGTGTGTGCACCTGTCTTCATTTGTGTTTTAAGTGTTTTTGCACAAAATATTAATTCATGTGAGACCATTTATGAATTTTAGTGTCTATAACACTGTGCTCTGCTGTCGATTCTGCCCCCTCAGGAAGTCCAGTGGGAACTCCTCCTCCAGTCTGGGAGAGATGGTGTCCGGCACCTTCAAACCTAACCCTCCCTCTGCTGGTAAGCACAGTTCATGCTGAAAGTCTCAGACGCTGTAGGCCTGATGTACTAATGCTTTGGACGCATTCTGGCCGCATGTTATGTATGAAACTGGCACACAAGCCTTAACTTATGGGCTGTGTGCATGGTACAAGACAAAAAGCGCTTCTCTTTCTCTTGCATACACGTTTGAGGTAGGTCCATGCAAAGACTAGTTTTGCAAAGATTTTCCTTTGTCTTTTAAAACCAGACATAAACTTACATTGGGAATTGAAGAGACATGTTAAGAGACTTTCTTGAACAATGGCAGCAGAAAATTAGCCATCAGAATAACACTGTTTAACACTTTAAACTCACTCTAGATGTGGGTATGTGAGAAGACATGGCGCAAAATATGCCTTATTGTGGACACTATATGCGCAGTCTTCATAGATCATTGCAGTCATATCAAGGTGCATTTTGCATTGCGTAAAATCACTTTTAGGGTCACTGATAACCATAATAAACTGATGATATGCTATTTTTTTATTAAGGAAGGTGCCTAAGATACAAAGACATTAGGGAATTTTTTATATCAGTTTCATTGTTGTGGCCTAATTCTTTTTTTTTTTTTGCATTTCCACAGCAAAACAGAAGCAGAAAGTGGTATGTAACAGTTTGCTAAACATTTCCATCAGGAAATTTTAGTAAGCAGCCCAAATATAGCAGTTTGCTTCCAGGGCCTTTCTTTCATGTCACTCAGTGAGCTCATTACAGAGTGTTGCCATAGAACATATTGTACAAGTCTTTGTTTGTGTCAGTGAACAGCTTTTACTGACTAAATGTGTTATGTTACAGGCTGAGCACATTCCTCCTTATGATGTTGTCCCCTCCATGAGGCCAGTGGTTCTGGTTGGACCTTCTTTAAAGGGATATGAGGTAGGCATCATCCCTCGAGATGTTCCTGCTTTGTCTGTGTATTTAGACATGCTGAAGGGATCTCAGAAGGAACAGGGCATCTTTCTTTAAGCGCCGAGGGAGAGGGGAACTCGGGCTGTCACTGAATAGCAGTCATCTTCTCCACATTGTGTTGCCAAGGCAACAACCTTCTGGGTACAGCACGCCATAGTCTCAAAAGTGGAGCATGTTTTGAAATTAGAAGCAGAGAAAATCAACAAAAAAGCCCCAGATATCACTGTGACAATAATGCATTTGCTTTAGTGAGCACTCAGACCATGAGAGAAATGCTGGAGAACTGGTTTATCACTTTATTAAGGTTGCAAATGTCCCTGGAGCTTAAAAGGAGAATGAGAGAAAAAGCAAGCAAGCATGGTGAAAGACAAAGAAGCAAATAACATGGAATTAGAGGGGCAGCTGTAGAAAGGGGCAGGAGTTGCTACGTTTATACAGTATGCATTGTTGTTTTATTTAAGCCATTTACTCTTGACCTTAAACAGAACTTGGACTCTCAGTGAATGTAGCTAAGACGGGGCTATTAGATACAAATTATAAGCTGACCCAAAACCTTTTTTCCTTTTAACAACTAAAAAAAAAAAAGCGAAAGATTGACACACACTTGTCCATAATATACACGTAAGAATGTTTTCAATTCAGCAACAGTACAAAACTGTACAAAAATAATACCAAGAATGAGACCAAAAATATTCTACATGTGATGTGCTTTATTGCTTCCACAATGTGTTTCACCAAAACCCTCAAAAACGTTACACTGAACTGTAAATAATCCCATTTGACACCTAACGAGATAAACATTTCAAGACAGATTGTGGAATTATTTCCATGAATAATTATTAATTAGCCGCCACTTGCTGTAGGCAAAGACTGCCGTACTGGCATAAAGCCTGTTTCATGGGGGTGGATCATGCTGGACATTAGCAGTTCAACATGGGTTGCTGGAACTTTTGCTAATAAATTATTGTTGGCACAAAACTGAGTGGTTGGGCACTGAAAGTCGTGCTTTGCTTTATCTTGTTTTATGGCTTTATTACTGGCTTTATCAAGGAAAGGGATAATTTGCACAAAATAAACTTTAATGTCCTGAATTTCCTGACTTTATGTAGACATTATTTGACCACAAATGCACATGAGCACGTAATCACATTCCAAATAGCAACGTTGGCCTTACCTGTAATCGTTGAGGTGTGAGAGAAATAAATATTATTAAACAGACAGTCAGCCAGATTGTCAGTTGGTTACTTATTTATTCAGTCAGTTGTTATGTTATGTCGAGCTCGGTCCATGAGGTGAGGTGCTTTGCATCTAAACATGAATGAGATCGAGCTGATATACTAAAGGCAGTAGTGTTGGATTTAAAGTTGTGTTCAGTACTCAAGGCATGAGGGGAACTTCTCAGAATGTTGTGATGACATTGACTAGGTCTGTTTACCAGGTTGTTCTTCTTTTTCATTTCTGACTTTGTGATGCTATACTAGTTTCTCAGTGTCTACTAACATTTTACTGACTTTCATTCTTTACCTTTCCTTCACTCCATTCATCTCTTCTCTCTAACCTTCACCCGGGGACTTGTACTCAGGTGACAGATATGATGCAGAAAGCGCTCTTTGACTTCCTGAAGCACAGGTTTGATGGCAGGTGAGGTGCCTTCTGTTTTCCAGAGGAGGCTGTTTTGGTTTCTGTCATTTAGCTCCGATTATGTGTTACCTTTGTGTTGTGGATGAACTTACATACATCATTTTCACTGTATGGCTTTGTTTTGTCAATCATAGGATATCTATTACAAGAGTGACTGCAGACATCGCTTTAGCAAAGAGATCTGTGCTGAACAACCCGAGCAAGAGAGCCATCATTGAAAGATCCAACACCAGGTCAAATCTGGGTATGTTCTAGCTTTCAGTTCCAGTCAAACATTTGCCATTAATATGTACTACAAAAGTGTAAGTCGGTAAGAAAGCTTATCTGTCTTGTGTTCTAGCTGAAGTTCAGAGTGAGATCGAAAGGATCTTCGAACTGGCAAGGTCTCTTCAGCTGGTTGTGCTGGATGCTGACACAATCAACCACCCAGCCCAGCTCATTAAGACCTCACTAGCACCTATTATCGTCCATGTCAAAGTGTCCTCTCCCAAGGTGAAAAGTGCATTACTGCCAAAGATCTCTTCTACAAGCAGCTGCTTATCTCCTAAAGCAAAAAGCTGTCCAGTTCGCTCAGTATCACAGTTTTCTCAGTAATGTGTTGCTGCCCTCTTCTGGTGTGAAATTGAATGCAGTTCACTGGTCAGTTATTTAACGTACACACATAAAAAAGATGGTTTACCCTTTTTGACGCTATGTAGAACGCTTTTCAAAAAGGTTCTATATAGGACCATGCCGAGCACATTCTCAATCAATCTAAAGAACTTTTTCATGATGCAAAGAACCCTTTAATCATGCAAAGTGTTCTTTGAGTGTTCATGGTTCTGTATGTAGCCATTTTCTTTACTAAAGAACCATTGAAGAACCATCTTTTTTAAATGTAGCTTCAACACAATTAGTGTTTATAGATCATACAGCCTGGAATTTGTTATGAGTGCACAAAAATAATAAGCTATGCTTTTCTCACAGATTATGGTCCAGTTCTCTGATACAGTTTTCCTGTGTTAACAGGTCTTACAGCGGCTGATCAAATCACGTGGGAAGTCGCAGAGCAAGCACCTGAATGTACAATTGGTGGCTGCAGACAAATTGGCTCAGTGTCCTCCAGTCAGTTTCCAAATACTACAACACACAAATGATAATAATAGCTTCCATGTCTCCCTTTATAATATTTAGTCTTTATAATATTCTAACTCACTGTAATGCTCCTGTGTCCCAATACAGGAAATGTTTGACATAATTTTGGATGAGAACCAGCTGGAGGATGCCTGTGAACACCTGGCAGAGTACCTGGAGGCCTACTGGCGGGCAACACACACCTCTCTGAGCACTCCACTCAACCCTCTACTGGGACGCAACCTAGGGTCCACTGCTCTCTCTCCATACCCCACAGCTATCTCTGCTCTGCAGGTCAGCACATTAACTCTTTTCCATTTCCTTATTTCCTTATCTACTCTTTTTTATTTTCCAGTAATGTGATTTGTGAATGCTGTTGTTGTGTTTATAAAGAACATGATCTTACAAAGCTGAACAATCTGAGATTACTGTTCAGTTTGTGTCACATACTACCACATACCAATAAGACACATGAATAGGAATATATACTCACTGAGCACTTTATTAGGAACACTGTACTAATACTGGGTAGAGCCTCCCTTTACTCTCAAACCAGCCCAAGTTCTTAATGGCATGGATTCCGCAATATTGTTGGAAACATTCCTTTGAAATTCTGGCATCATGCAATTCCTTCAGTTTTTTCAGATGCACTTTCCTGCTCCGAATCTCCCGTTCTAACACTTCCCAAAAGGTGTTCTGTTGGATTTAGACCTGGTGACTGGAAAGGCCACTGAAGAGCACTGAACTCATTGTCATGTTGAGGAAATCAGTTTGAGTGGCCATGAAGGAGGCGCATGGTCAACCAACAATACTTAAATAGGCTATGACATTCAACCAATGATTGATTGGTATTAATTTGCCTGAAGTGTGCCAAGAAAAGATTCTCCATACCATTACACCAAATCCACCAGCCTGGACTGCTGACACAAGGCTGGATGGGTCCATAGATTCATGCTGTTGGTGCCAAATTTTGACCCTACCATCTGTGTGCCACAGCAAAAATCAAGATTCATCAGACCAGGCTACGTTTGTCCAGTCTTCAGCTGTCCAGGTTTGGTGATCCTGTGACCACTGCTTTCTGTTCTTGGCTGACAGAAGCGGAACCCAACCTGGTTTTCGGCTGTTGGAGCTGTCCACCTCAAGATTAGACGTGTTGTGAATTCTGAGATGCTTTTCTGCTCACCACAGTTGTCACTATAGCCTTTTTGTCAGCTCAAACCAGTCTAGCCATTCTCCGTTGACTTTTCCCATCAAAAGGATGCAGAACTGCCACTCACTGAATGTTTTTCCTTATTTCACTGTTCTGAGTAAATTTAAGACTGTTGTGCATAAAAATCCCAGCTTTTCCGTCACCAACAATCATGCCATGGCCAGAATCACTGAAAACACATTTTTTCCCCATTGTAATGGCTGATGTGCACATTACCTGAAGCTGCTGGCCTTTGTCTGCATGATTTTATGCACTGCACTGCTGCCACAAGTCAAACATCAGTGGCACTTTACCATAACTCTGATTAAACAAAACGGGTCTTACTGATCTGAACCGCACTCTGAATGAACCTAAACATTCATTCAGAAAAAAAACACAGCGCATCCAACAAGAAAAGAAGCCTTGTGCTTATTTTGAATAGTAATAGAAAAAGCTCTAACAAAGAAAGCTACATGTCTGCATGCTGAAATTCATAAAATAATTTTACTTTTGCCAACAGGGTATCTCCTCTGGTAGCAGATTTAAACCAACAAACTTTATTTTTTGGGCATTGTACCGGGCCTGTTGGGTTCATGTGTTTTTATTAGGAGTTTATAAGTAATTAACCCCCAGAGACCCTCTGTAGCAAAATTACAACAGTTGTTTAAAGCAGTTATGCCTCTATTTCTTCTGTCACTAATCCACATATCCAAACAGTCCATCTAAAACTATACCATAATTTCATTTGTGGTGAAATGTGTAGTATTCTAGCAACAAAATTAAAATAAAATGTCTCTGAGCACTAAAAATATGTCAAAGTAATAGACTATAAAAGCTTTTGCCATATAACACATTAAGAGTAACATTGTAAGATTATATTACTGTAAACTAATGGAATATAATGGAAAAATCTCTTTGGTTAAACTAAATAAAAATCTTGTTTCGTGCTGTTGTTGGCAAATTGACAGTATAAAAAAACCCTACTGCTGTTTTGCATTCATACTTGTGGCCTGTATTGTAGTTTGGTTCTAAAACCTTTGTGTTGTTCTCATCAGGGCCAAAGAAATAGAAACAGCAATCATGTCAGTGACCATTCCCCAATCGAGAGGCGCAGTCTGATGACCTCGGACGAAAACTACCACAACAACGAGCGGCAGCGGAAGAGTCGCAACCGTCTGTCGTCCACATCCCAGCAGAGCCGAGACCACTACCCGCTGGTGGAGGAGGACTACCACGACCCCTACCAGGACACGTACAAACCCCACCGCAACCGCAGCTCTCCAGGGGGATACAGCAACGACTCTCGCCACAGGCTCTGAGTCCAGCCTCCTCCACACCTCTACAGCCACAGCTCCAGTGTCTTGTGTTGAGTCCTTTTTCTGAAATGTAGTACCTTGTATTCCCTCTGGCACTGGTTCCCACCAATGGGCTGTCTAACCTTCTGCATAGATCTGGCCACTTTTGCCTTTCATTATGAGGCTATTGTCTACAAAGTGTTTGCAAAAGAATTTGGAGGTCCTCTAGTTAAGAAATACCCCAGGAGGGAAATTATGGTACTGAAACTGGACAGATGATTATTAGTTGTCTGGTAAATAATTCCACAGGGTCCATGTCCAGGTAAAATGGTCTTCTAGCTCTTCATAGGTCCTGTCCTGTACGTTTGAAGGGCCAGCTGTCGAGGCATGCTTGTTTGAGCCCTGTACCAGTGCCAGCATGCAGAAATGCCACAGCGCCAAGAGCCTCCGATAAACCCAGAGCCTTTTTTGCACGTTTTCAGCAGACAGTGGAAGTAGAGTTTAACGATCCAGGGTGATCCACTGGTATAATGATGATGTTAGACTTGATTTGGAGGTACTCAGGTACAGAACAGATCACATGTGCCAAAATGTTGAGTAAAGTTTTGACCTCAAATTCACCCCGCTTTCCAAAGGCCTGTCCACTTCTCAGAGTAGCATTGTGCAATTTCTGATGAACTGTCAAAAAGCTGCATTCTCTGCTAGGACAAAGCAAGTACTCTCGCTCATTTGTTATTACTTACTCGATAGCGAATACGCCCTAACAATGTTGAACGCTTGTTCTGTTTTTCTGCAAGCCTTGTTCTGTGCATAATTCTGAATTCTGAATATTGTATGGTTGTTTTGATTCTTCTGACATTTGGCACTAAAACAACCTGTTCATTCAGTAATAAATGCTACTTTTGTGAATGGGACCAGGCAAACCTTTCCAGAGTGTCCTTCAGACCCCATTCAGGTTCACAAATGCTTATTTTCTAATCAAGCCTGTTTTTACAGCAGAGTATGAGGAATTAAAAATCAGAAATCAAACTCTATGAGCTAAATGGTGCCCTACACAGTACAGAGGTCATATAATTACAAGACAGCGTACTTAAAATGACAGAAGTCATATGTAAAAGCTTAGTCAGTACATTTGTCTAGTTTCTTTAGAGCCAGATTTGTAATTACTCAATATGTGCCAATGAAGAGTCATATTATTGTTACGTTGTTACAGTTCATTTTTCAAATGCTGCTCTCAATGCCGTTGTTATGCATCTGAAATCACTAACGTTTGGGCGGAATTAGATAAAAGGTTTTGTCATTTGGCATGGCAAGCTGAAAATGAGGATGTAGTTTTAGATGTGATTTGGCTGTACCTATTTTTGATAGAACAAAGCCCCACTCGGCACGTTGTTGATGTTGAATACTGATTGCGTGTAGATTAATGATGCTAACCTATTCATTTCTTCTCACAGAGAAGAGTACTGTACAGCAAGTGTCATGTGATAGTAATAGCACATCCTGTAATGTGATTGCACTTTGGGTATAGCTTAAGAGTAGAGGGGAGTCAGCTCGAATAGTAGATTGGGCATCCATGACGTCCTGATAGTTTTAGGGTTATCTAACCTGTATATGGAGAAAGTTAAGGGAGCAATAAGCAGTGTTTAACCACATATTAAAAAGCATTAATATAATCTAAATATGTATTAGTATTATTTAATTTTATTTAGTAGGCAGTGGCCGTCAACCGGTAGGAAATGACCTTTGCTTACAAGTGATCATGCAGGTTACATTCTGTCCTGATGTGACTGTAGATCATAACACTATGGACAGCCTTACTACCTGCATGAGTATAACACAGAAGGGTTACTTATTGCTCCTTTATCTCATATATTATTTATATGTACCCTCGATTTAACTCATGCATAATCTTTGAACAAGACAGTAAAAACTGAGTAGTTCTTGATAGTCTGATGGTAGATTACAGTACACAGTATATTCCAGTGACATTCAAACCACTTTAAGCAATTTCTAAACCTGAGCCAGTTTAATATAGTGCAGTTGAGTAAAGTGCCCTTACTGTACTACCACTGCCGTTGCCATTCTAACTGACCATTAGCATTAGATATTATATAGTAGTTTACACTCATTGGCTTACACAGGATACAGTAGTTTACCTTCTTATGTGCATTTTACACATTTACAGTATCTAATTATATGGGGCCTTGTACTGTATATACATTGGCAGTTAAATTGCAAAAGTAATGTCATAAATGTCATGCTTGAAATAACCGACATTATTTCTTTTTAGTTATCATTTCTTTCACACCTCCAGATTCCAGACAATGGAGTCAAGAAGGCTGAGACCATGAGTGTAAATGCTTCAATTTTGCATTTGAATTTAAAACAAATTATATTAACGGCATAATAATTTGAAAGAAAAATAAAATCTTTGCCATATTAACATGAATTTTAGAATTTCTTAGTATTTGTTATGTCCCACTTTTGCTTTAATGACAGCATGCACTCATGGACTCCACAGGTTTGTGCAAAAGCTTCTGATGAGTAGATCAAATCCACCTGAGAGTCGTCGAGTGATGAGTTTCAATGGAAGGAATCTGACCTTATCTACAAAAGCCTTAACACTTATACATGAAAAAAATCCAAGATTTTCAATGATGATCTCAGACTTTTGGACCCCACAGTATGTACCTACTGCTTTACTATATAGTGGTCTCAGACTTTGGGATTCCACAGTGTGTACTCACTGCTTTGTTGTATGTTGGTCTCGGACTTTGGGACCCCACATTGTGTACCTACTGCTTTACTGTACAGGGCACTTAAGACTCCCTGTTTGGTTTCCTAGAGAAATGATATGCTACAATGTTTGTTTGCTACATTCACTTTAAGTTTTCTGATAAGCTAAAAATACACAGTCAAAGCCATGGTGCTGTACTGTGTGCATTCTAGTGTTAGGGTTTTTCCTTTCACTGGTTGATGGAGTTTTGTTTGGAATCCTTCTGGACGATAAAAACAAATCATCAGAGAAAACCTTTTTGGCTCCAACACTGAATGGATTTATTTAAGACAAACATGGTTATTAACAGAAGTCCCCACAGTTTATGTTGATATGTAATCATATGCCTATTATGTATTGTAGCTAATGCTCAGGGTCCCTTATCTCATGCTGTCAGTTTGTGACATATCATTTTCATTTTGAACATATTTTTGCCACATTGTTAGTCTGTGTGGTTCATTTCAGTTGTTATGATGCTGTATAAACTGTCCTGTCACATGTTCTTTTTTTATTTCACTCTGTGCATTGCTTTCAAGGTTGTGTTTGATGACTATGCCTTAAATTTTACTGGTTAGATGTCTTGATCGGCAGTACTTTATTTCCTAATTTATGTTTGATGGAGTCTAAATAGTAAAAAAATACTCTTCCACACACAGTCTATAGAATTTTAAGATTATAATGATAAGTGATGCGATGCAGACAGATGATCTCCCTTCAGATTCTACTGTAAAAATCAATCAGTTGCTTTTTTTCCTGCTGCTGCTGCCCCAGTAAACCCAGCTTTACTCTGGCAACTCCTCTCTGCAGGGGACGTTTCCTTCTTGTAGGTCACAGTTCATGCACATTCATGAGAAGGCTTGTTAGTAATAAAAAATGGATGAATATGTAATCTAGAATAAATGACAACCATTTACTATGCAAACGTGTACAGTGCTGCATGCTGACGCTTTACCTCCCTCTGCGACCTAGCAGCTTCATTTGAGTTCTGTTGAAATTGTGGTTTTATTATTTTCGTGAAGGTTGACGTTCGAGAGCAATGCGAAAGTGCATGCATTCAGTTCCATTTTGATGAATCAAATTAAAGGAAGATGGTATGTTTTCGGAGAGGGGGTGGGGAAATATCTATGTAAAAAAAAAACAACAACAAAATGAACAATTGAATTGAGCTGCATTTGTTAATGTTTTCTTTTGTAAAATAAATTTGAGCCTATAAGATCTTATGTCTTGTTTCTTGTAACTCTTTTTTCTTCACCTCACTGCTGTGCACCTGCACTGTTTGAACAGCTTCCAAGCCAGGAATAGTGAAATGAGTGTCAGTTTATTTGTTACAGCCTGCTTGTGAGGATTTTATGAGCCAGCTCCTATATTAAGCCTGTGCGTCAATGAGATTTTATGGCAAAACGGTCCAGATGTAAGCAAGTAGCTGTATTACATGCATTCACTCTGTCATGAAACTCTCATTTATCACACTGCTGGTCTTCCACTGCACTTGTGTTTACCTCTAGCTCCACCTACTGCTGCCTCTTGGCTAACACACATATTGATGTTCCTCTTACATACACTATGGGCTGGTTTCCTTGACATAGATTAAGCCTCACCTTGGACTAATCACAGAGCTAATGGTGATTTACTTTTGTCTAGCTTTAGGCTAAATCTAAGTCTAGATTGGCTCTATATATCCAAAAGCATCCAGACACCTCTTCTGATTGGTGAATTCATCTGCCTTAAGATGCACCCACTGCTGACACAGGCATTTAATTGTGCACATACAGCTTGTATAATCTCCTTAGTAAACCACAGTCAATTAAATGGGTCACTCTGGAACAGCTGCACATGAGTCAGCTAGAGGGATGTGAAGCCCTCCATCATCAACGTCATGTTGATTTTGATTCTCCATGAGGATATTAGTGAGCAAAGCACTAGCAAATATTCACGTGTTTCTTCTCTGACAATATTAGTGAGTGAAACACTTGCATTTGTCCAGTTCAACCGGGTTCATGTTTATTAGTCTGGAGATTAGACTGACGCCAATAGGCTCGAACTACTCAGCTGCAGGATACAACAGACGTGGACACTAGCCATACGATCACTGACCATAGGCCGCAGTTCCATAATAACTCATTGAACCTGCCTTAATAATGAACTTCATTATACTGGCAGATGTCACCATTTTACTGTAAAATGTTGTGAGCATTTTATCCAGAATGCAGCCACAGTAAAGACTAACATTAATAAGTCTCAACAGCACTGCACACACTTTATGGAATAGCATTGCAATTCAATTTATTTGTAGTACGAATTCAAATATGCCAAAATACAACAAAGACAGTATAGAAGTTGAAAGCTGTCAAGTTTCTCATCATTAAAAGACAAATTCAAAGCAACACTTCACTCTGTCATTTCTTTATACTGTAAATTTGTATAGAAGATCAGTTTTATAGACAAGAATACACTCATAAAAATAATGATGCCAAAAAGAGTTCTTTGCATGATGCCATAAAGGAACCACTTCGGGTTTTTTGGTTCTTTGGTTTCATTGGATGGTTCTTTAGAGAATCAGTTTCGTAAATGAGATTATTTAGTGTGAGAAGCCTTTATAAAGTTGAAAGAACTTCCACATAATGTGAAGATTGTAGGAAGGAACTCTTAAATTGCTATTGAAAAGAAATAGATTTATATTGTGTGATGGTCCTTTAAAAAGGTTTAAAAAGGTTTCCCACAATCATAAATCTTTTTTTCAAACACAGTTCTTTAGGGCAGGGATTCTCAAACTGCGGCAGGGGGATGCTAAGGGGGGGCCACAGAAAAATCTCTGAAATATCTCTACTTAGAAAGTTTGGTAACACTTTATTTGAAGGCTACCTGCATAAGGACTTAAACACATTACTTATAACACATGGATAAGTATTGAATGATGTACTTATAAAGCAATAGTTGAATATTTATGAACAGCTTATGCCATTAATCACAAGATGATATAGAATGTTTTATGAAGTAAATGTAGTAAGCCTGGCATTTTACGGTGTTGACATAAGGGTGATAGACATTTATTCCTTTGGTAACATATTAAAAACTGAACTTTTGTACTTATAAATACAATTGATATGTCTTTATCTGGGCCTCTGCATAGCCTTGTATAAGCTCCATCATTTGAGAAGGACATAGTTATGACAGTGTTATAAATAAAACAAACTCTCCATCACTTCAGTTTAAGGTCTCTTATATCAGTACAGTGTTATTTACTCCATAGAACAACTTATGTCATCTTGCGATTAATAACATAAGCTGTTCATAAATACTCAAGTATTGCTTTATAAATATGTTATTCAATGCTTATTCATGTGTAATGAAGTCCTTAGGTAGGTAGCCTTCAAATGAAGTGTTACCAAAAGTTTTAATTTGGTGAGTTCATTAAAATGCTTTGGCCATATCTAAAACTTGTACTTGTTTACTGTTATATATCCATAAATATGTAAGTGCCAACCGATCACAGTTCACAGCCATACTGCGGCCAGTTAATGAGTTATCTGTAGTGTCAGAGAAGAGGGTGACATCTTTTGTATGTGCATGTCAGAAATAGCAGCAGAGGAAGCTAGCAAGACAGATAAGGTTCTGATACGATATGGTCCTCACCTGTTAAGTGCAAGTAATGACCTGGAGGGGGGTGACTTTAAGAACTGCCACTTTAGGGAACCAAAAGTGGTTATTATATGGCACTGTTAAAAGAAACAATTGTGGCACCTTTTTAAAGAAGTGTAACACACACTAAAGCACACTTTCACAGTTTGCAAACAGAATCTGAACTAAAACTCTTCTGCTTTCAGTGTACAGTACCCTTGTCTACCCTTTGCTTTCTTTGGAAGCCATTGAAAAGACTCATTCTGTTTTCTGATGTTAGACTGAAGTTGAATATTTTGTACAGTATTACTTTTTTATATGTACATTTTACAGCCACACACTGTGAGCATATAATGATTACACTGTGCTTGGTTTCAGTGCTGGTCCCGTCTCCTGTGGAAGCTCAGACTCCTTTGGTGTGTTACTCTCTTTGGGTTTGGTCTTTTCACTCTGGGTCCGATTCTGCTTCTCTCTCTCTAATGCTTTCTCCATCTCTGTGTAGTAGTCCAGGGCTTTCCTCACTGGATCAATGATATGTTGCTGTTGGACACAAAGACATACAACCTGGGTTGGATAGCAGAGTCATCATTTCAATGTACAACCTAGTATGCCCAGGGTTTAAAGTGCTGATACAGCCAAAAACCAAAGTTACTCACCCCACCAACCCCACAACAGGGTAGATAACAGCAGCTAAGACATGTATGGTAATTGTTTGCTTCTTTAGTGTTGGACTGAAGCTATGAGGTCAAAGTAACAGGTAACAGAACTTACAGCTACTGTGTCAAGTTCTTAAGTAATCTGTAACAAACTTTTTGTTTGTCTATTTTTCTATTTGATCTGTATTTAGGCACACATTTTGCCAACTGGTACCTATAAGCTTCCATTATTTGTTAGCTACATTAGTCTCGTAAGTCTAGTTCTAAACTGAAGAACCAAACTTTGGACTCCAGCTGCATTTGGAGTAAGATAAAGATATTGTAAATTTGCATTAAAGAGCCCATATCTTCATATCTCATCATTTTCCTTGTTTTCTTTTTTTTTTAATGTGTTTGATGTAGTATAGAAGCATTATTAATAATTCAAAACATACCATTCTCTCCATAGACCACACAGTCCATATATGAAAACTAAGCTGCGAAAACAACTTTTTTGTTCTGAATTCAGTTTTTGTGATGTCATGAAAACCAACCTGTTTACATAAATAAGCCTGTATACAACTTAGAGTAGTTAAGCCCCACCCATTTATGTTGAAGTTATTATGAGTTTTTAGCCAAGGACCTTTTTGAATGAGGTATCACAATAATAAAAACAGCCTGTTTAATTCTAGAGGTCATGTAAAAATGAATTGACTGTTTTTGGTACATACACCCACACATAGGTTATAAGCAGACCTCAGAACAAAGAAGAAAAGAAAAATGTAGTATATGAGCCCTGTATGCACCCCACACTCATCCTCACCTCCAGACAGGGGAAGAGATTGGCTAGCTCGATGAAGAGAGGGAACAGAACAAAGCGGATGAAGCCAGTCTGGGAAGAGGGTTTGGTCACTTTGTCTCGGTCCATGAATGGGGTCACAGGGAGCCCCTCCAGCTTCTCCATGTCACTCTAAACAGTGTATTAGTGTTAGCATATATCTGATTATCTCATTCATTGAGTACAAGTAGCGTTATTCACAATACTTTAACCAAATGTAGGCCTATATATTACAGTTCTTCCGTCATACAGAAAAAGTAGTTGTTTTAGGTGTTTTTCTTCTTGTCACCTGGTTAAAAAACTCCTGCAGCAGGCAGTCCAGCCAGGGCTCTGCAACGTCCATGGGCCGAGCTTCATTGGAGATGTCACTCACTTTGATCATGATCATCATCAGCTAGACCAGAGACAAGCAGACAGGAATTGTCCTAAAATATGTTCATCTTATCTCAATTGTAGCTGAATAAAGTGAGCTCAAAACTTCTATCTGTATCCGAAATGTCCTTTCCAGCAATCTTATCATCTGGAAAGTCTTCTAATTTAGTCTTTTAACCGTATCAGTTCTCAAGTGGTGAGATGCAACTTTATGACAGTAATTAGTAGACATTAGTAAACAGCCATTAGTAACACAGTAGATTATACATTGTTACTTACGTCCTTAAAAATGTTTCTCAGAGGTTTCTTACATTGAATGGTTATACACTGATCAGCCATAACAGTAAAACTTTTAAAACCACCACGTCAGTGTCACTGCAGTGCTGAGAATGATCCACCACTCAAACAGTGCTGTGGGGGTCCTGACCAACAAAGTATGCAGAGAAACAGATGCACTACTGTCTGTAATTATAGAACTACAAAGTGCACCTATATAGTAAGCTAATAAAAAGGACAATAATGCATAGAAACAAGAAGGTAATTTTAATGTTATGGCTGATCAGAGTGTATAGAACTGTGAACGCTCAAAGATCCGATTAAATGCATGATTAAATGGTTATTCTGTAAGATGGAAAATATTTTTTTATGATTCTTTAAAGTAACCTTTTTAAAAATGGTTACCACATCAAAAAGAGTTCTACCATTGTTACAGGTCAAAAAGTTTTTTTGGTTCTATTTAGAACTTCTTGATTGTCAGAGTAAAGAAATGAATAATCTCAAATGGATGGTGTTAAAGTATTAAAGGAATACTCCAACGTTCTTCAATCTAATATCTGCTGCATCTGAGGAGGACAGCTCATTACCATGAACAATAACATCAGCATGGTTTTCTGTACTCAGTGGAAGCAAAAATAGTCTTATAGCACATTTATAATAGAAACTAATTGGCCATGGGTTTCCTATTCTATTTCAAGCACTAGGAAATTATTGTCATTGTTAAGATGGAGCAGAGAGATCAAGTTGAAAAATGCTGGAATATTATGTTAACTAAAACTGTTTCTCATATATGTATCGTAGGAAAGGCATTGCTCTCACCACATCCCTGTGGTCCTTGTTGCTGAAGTCAAACACTGGCAGAATGGCTTTAAACTTGTTGAGGATCTCTGTGTGTCTGCTCATGTCTGTGGCGAGAATACACCTGAGGAAAAATCAAATAATAATCAAAGCTCTGGTGTGGTGTTTTAAAACTGTTTCAATGAAACAGCACAATGGATCATACTTAATTATGCCCTCTCGTATCCTCTTGTACTGCTCTGTTGTCAGGTTCCGGAAAATGTTGCTCTCAGTCTGAAAGAGATTAAATAAAAGTTCAGGCATATGTATATAAAAAAAGTGATTTTGGGCCGTTTCTTTTGGTCCATTCAACATGAAATTTACACACAATGTAAAGAACAACTGGCATTTTCAAATTTTGTCAAAAACTGAAAAACTACTCAAATGGAGATATGAGGTTTTATTTCGACAGCAGCAGTGTGTTCATATTTGCAGTTCATCATGTCCATTATGCACATTAAGCAGTGGGGTGACACATGATGAATAACTACGTCATGGCGCTGTAGTCCTAAATAACTTTTATTGATGCCATGTTGACATCCTGCACATTACACCAAAAAGTGTATACTCTTCACAGTTACTGTACATTTAATTGATTAACTGCTGACTGGCTCTTTATTGGTTATTATTAGTTTATGGTAGATTCTATGATGGAGAGCTTGCGAGGCCCTGCTGAAGGAAAACAGCCATAAACCATGACATTTCCACCCCCATGCTTCACGGTTGGTATAAGGTTCTTGTGCTCAAATGCTGTGTTTGGTTCATGCCAAAAATGTCTTCTGTTACTGTGTCCAAATATTTAAACTTTGGATTCATCTGTCCAAAGCACATTGTTCCAGGAGTCCTGATCTTTGTCTAGGTGTTCTCTGGCAAACTTTAGTCTTGCCCTCATGTTTTTCAGCACAGCAAAGGTTTTCTCCTTGCACACCTCCCATGAAAATCAACCTTGTGCAGTCTCTTTCTGATGATAGACGCATGTACTCTGACATCAACTGAAATCATATCATGCGGTCTGCTTTTGGGCTGAACTTGCTAGGACGTCCTGACCTGGCCATGTTGGTTGGTGTTTTAAATGTCCTCTGCTTGTAAATTATTTTCCAGACAGTAGAATAGCTGATTTCTAATTGTTTTGAGATCTTTATAAATCCCTTCCCAGACTCATAAGCATCTACAACCTGCTTTCTGAAGTCCTCAGAGAGCTTCTTAGAGCAATCAAAGCAAACCAAACTAATTATCTGAGGTTTAAATAAGACAGCCTCCTCCAGAATCCTTTCTAATGATGTTCCAGTCCTTTGCAGCTGATGTGGTGCACCTTATTCTAATATTAGGCACTTTAGACAGTAAAAAATGTGCAGTGTGTTAACTTTTTCCTCACAAAAAAGTGTTTCTATTAATTACATTTTATCATTTTTAAAGATGTTTCTTCAGTTTTAATTGTTTAGTCTCTCAATATTGTTAAAATGAAGATCAAATGTTTAAATATGTTAAAATAGACAAAGGTTTTCATGGGGTGTCCTAATTTTTTCACACGACTGTACATAAAACAGTTACCTTTTCTAGTATCTCGAATGCTACAGCACAGTGATGATTCTCCAAAGGGGAAATGTCATTGTACCTCAAGGCGAGTTCAGTGCGAGCATTAATCTGAAAAGCAGTAGACGATTTTATCACTGTAGCCCCTCCAGCAATGGAAGTAAGAAATAACCATACAGCTAAATCAGACAGAGCTCAAAAGGCCTTTCTCACCTGGTAGGCATTGTTGTAGCCGGTGTGGTCTAAATCATGACAGACAGCTGAAGTCAGCATGATTAAGAGATCGATGCTGTCGATCTTACTCCTCAGATCCGTCAGCCAAATCAGCCCATACATCTGCCAACAGAAGAGCCACTGATGCAGAGAGTTCCACTGATTCTTCAGAAGTTCTTCCACACAAAATTATTCAGAGTGGTGATGTGAAATGGTTCATTGTAGAGGCTCAGATTTCTTTACAGTGGTGCTGATAGGAACCAGAAGTCACAATGGCTACAACACAAATATAGCCATTTAATTTGACAACAATTCTGACACCATACGTTTTTCAAGAATGACGAACTTCATATCAAACCACTCTGAACGACTTTCTTTACACTTTTTCAATGTAATAATGCAGAAATTGTAAAATATCAGTGGAATTCCCCTTGAAAAGGGTTAGAACTGGTTAGCCAGATGAAGAGTGGATTCCAGCCTTTTTATGATTCCAAGAAACAATAACCACAATCAGAAAAATAGAGTTAAAATGAGGTGAAATAACAGAAAAACTAATGACAAACATGTTTGTTAATAGGGTTTATATCAAGCAATAGTTATAGGTGAAGTGAAGGTGGTTGAAGGTTGTGCCCTTCACTAATGCCTGAAATAGACGAGTGGACAATTTAAGTACTTGAAGCCAAGGTGAGCTGATTGCATCCTCTCTCTCTCTCTCTCTCTCTCTATCTCTCTCTCTCTCACCATCTGAGTGACGCAGAAGCAGTGTTTGAAGTTGTGGAAGGGGATGTTGTTGTAGCGCTTGTAGACCTCGTAGAGGAACTGCTGCAACACGTCTAGCTCTATGTTGAAGGTGGAGATAAAGTCCAAGTCTGTGTACATCACCTGGAGCAGCACCATGATCTCAGCATCCTCCCACTGCCTACACACAAACACATTTTTGTTTAAACTCTTTATCAGGATGTGGCAGGTCTACCTACATTCCTAAGGCTGATTCTAAACGTAACCCTAAAGTAATACTCCAGCATTTTTAGCCTAATCTCTATCTTCTGCAACTGTAGCATACAGTCAGTTAGCATGTTTATCTGCATTTAGTAAAAGAAGAGAAAACTGTTAACTTGAAACTCATTTATTATAGACAATGTAATAGAATTTATAATAGTATTGAAGCAACTTTCCACTGGAGTCCCATTATAAGTGTTGTAAGTGTGCTTTGTTAAGTTTTCTGTTCTTCTGCTGTGTGCAGGGAAATTATTGTCTGTGATAAGCAGAGATGCACCGACGTGGACATTGTGGCCGATATCCGATGATTTTAATGTACAGTTGTATGGAAATCTTTGGGTTCTTCTGGTCAAATGTCATGTTTTGTTGATTTTCCAAGTGAAGAGAAGTCAACACATCATCTACAAAGAAAACAGTTCTGCACATTTTAGCACACAGTTACCGTTTATTTGCTGAACCTATTAAGAGAAAATCTAGCCTGTGCAAAAGTTATGGCACATTTTGTATATATATATATATATACATATATATATATACATATATATATATATACATATATATATATATATATATATGTATATATATATATATATATTTGTATATATATAAATTATCTCCTCATACAGATTATTATTAAATTATACTTTCAATCTTGGTAAGCAAAAAAACTGTTTATTACCTTTCAGCTTTAAAACTGAAATATGTAGCTCTTTCAATAAAGCACTTTACAAAGTTAAGATTTTCAGTTCATTGTTCCATTTTAGGTCACCTCACTTTTTCTCCAGACTTCCTACAGTAAAGGCATTTTTGTTCAGAAAACATGCAAAAACAACAAACGTGCACATATGAACTGACCTACAGTGTGAGGATCATCTTTTTATATAATGTCCTACACAGTGTGACATTTTGATTCCTTGATTCTGACTGAATATGCACAGTACATTCACCAGCTTTTCATGCTTTTCATGTTTTTGTCCCGTTAATACAGTGCCTTTATTACTCATTACAGGCTTCTGTAATGTTCTTTAAAACAGGCATGAGGATGACACACATTCACGTCCTTTGTATCTGTGGAAAACCCACATCCTGTTTTGTTTGTCTGAAAAGACTGGGTTCAAAAACTAAGCCAGAAGACCACTGCATAAATACAGTCTTCAAAGCCTGAAGCGTGGAGCTCTGTTCTGAAGGACTGCTATTGATTGGTAAGCCCCTGAAACAACCATTCATATTGATATGAGCCCTCTCGGCCAGATGAAAGGACTGAATCTCCTCTGGCCTCTTCATGCATGGCAGAGGAGCTGTGCTTTTGCTTCTGTAATGAATGTTCATTTAGCTATAGCAGGTGCTCAGCTCATTTGAAAGATGCACATAGGCTAATGATGTTTAATATTTCAGCACCTTGTGCCTGGAGAAGAAAATCTATCTAGAAAGTTACAGGAAATCATTTATCAATATATATAGACGCAAAAATAGTGAAATAAGACCTTGAATAATTGAAACGATGTACATGCTTGTGTGATATAAGGCCTGTTCACTTTGCTTCAGTAGTTATAGACACTACCATTGTTCTCATGTGATGAGAGATAATGAACGGGCTGCCCACCTTATTAAAAAACAAATAATGTGCAGGACTGAATAACACAACAGTACCAATGCCTTTGGGTACATGGGAGAGCACATTCAGGAAGTGAGTGTTGTTGTGTTGCGAGAGCATTCAAATATGCAGCAAATTATACCAGTACCTGGGAAGGGGGTACTGATTCTGGAGCTGTAAGCGAAAGATATCAAGTTATCAATAGTGCTTTCATTTTTCTTCTTAATTATCCTCATATTTATCATTATTGGGGTATTTTGCTGAAATATTAATAGAAACATGCCATTCAGACTAAGAATTTTAGTGATACAGTGGAGAGGAAAAAAAATGCTATTTTAAATGGATAGTTCCAGTCCTAATGGAAAACGGCACGAAAAACCCTTCTGCTGTTAATGGATTTGACTCTAATGCTGATCGCACGGAGCACCGAGTGTACTGATGAACCCATTTTTGTTTAAACTGAGGGGCTGAAAACTTATTTTCTTTAATAGAATTAGGCTGGTCAGCTAGCAAACAGGCTAAAAGATAGCAAACATGCTAAACAACTCCAACACTAATATCACAGGCTTGAATTGTAGTACTCACGATATGATTCACTGAAAAACGGCAATATAAAGTCTGAAGAATGTCACCTGAATGTCTTACATGCTTCAAATGTTCATGTTATAATCAGAAGTAGCATCAAACCCAGATTGAATCCCAAACAGCTCCATACTCCCTAGCTAAATAGTGTCCTGTGTAACATTACGTTTAGAAATTTTAGCTTCTGCTATGAAATAATGCACTGCTTGTCGAGTATGAATGTGGATGAATCCCATATTACCACTTTATCGCGATGTTTTGCATTGTTGTGGTGTAGGAGTCAGTGTTTAAACTCCTACATAGTGTACTATGTAGGGAGCAGGGAGCTGTGTGAGATTCAGCCCCAGCGTGAGAAAAGTGGCATCATCAGACTGACAGAAGACTCAAAGTGATAATTTGGTGACCAAAAAGTACTTATAAACTGAAAGACTTTGCATTAAACAGTGCTGTGTTACATATGTCCACTGTTACACAAAAAAAGCTTTAAAAAATCATGAAATATCTGCAGTTTACAGTGATTAGCGACCAAACGTTCTTCTCCTCATTCAGCAGTCAATGGTTGCTTAGCAACAATACCACTCTAAAGGAACTACATTTCTTGGTGGAATACTTGTTTATGTTGATTATTATTAATAATAACTTAAATAATTATCTAAAACATTGTGTATTTTAAGATATTTTATGTTGACCGCCGTTTAATAAAAGCAATAAGCCACTCGAGGCAGTGCGTGACTGCGAGTTGTAGGCACTCCGCTTAGCGTCATGTCAAAGAACGCCCTTCCCCGTGATACAACCATTATACGTATATATATATATATATATATATATATATATATATATACGTATATATATATATATACATATATATATGTATATATATATACGTATATATATATATATATATATATATATATATATGCCTCGACTGCCTCGACTGCCCCCAACACTGGGTACTACTTTCTATGTCTTGGCACTTAACCTCAAAAGGTACAAGAGACAAGCACTGTACTTTTGAAGTCAATGTGAATCAGAAATCTTTTCTAATTTTCCTTCCTTGAGTTCAACATGCTATCAGGGGTCTCTGAGCTAGCAGAGTTTTTCATTCAGTGATAGGTGGGTTTGGTGGGAATTATTGGTTAAAATGCATTTTCCCGTCTGCTGGTGCACAGTGACATAATCAAGACTTAGACAACGAGGTTACAGAAAAATACAGTTTTTGTCTTTTGAGTGATATAATGAACTATGTTTAATATGACCAAAGAAGGTAAAAAAAGGCTATTTTGATTTGAGGTTGACTTTAAAGGAATAATTCTTCAATTTGTTCTGTGCCCTTTTCTTCACATTCACTAAGTTTTATTGAACAACTGTTTTTGACAGTTTCATTTTTATACACTGTTAGAAATAAAGTTACTGTGCAGGTACAATTTTTGTTCATCAAGATACAAACAATGTAAATGTACCCTCAAAGGTACAACAGCTGTTTTAAGGTCCAATTGTGGACCTTAAATAAGTTTTTTTCCAGGTGAAAAGTACGTATTTGTACCTTTTCACAACCGAATGTTTTAAAACAGAACAATAAAATGAAAAGCCTGGAGATGAGACGGGGTGTGTGGAGTCAATACAAAATATGATTTCAGTGGATTACAGTACAATTATGTTCCCTGACTAAAGGTACTGAGATGTACCCTTGAGGGTACCACCCTAGTGATAAGAGGGGCTCTGCCCCAGTGACAGTTTCAGACCTTTATTTCTGAGAGTGTATAATTTAGCATCTGCACTGTTATTAGATATGAACTCACCAGTTGTCAAAGGTAGGTGTCTTGAGGTATTGCCTCACCTCCTCAGAGACCTCCAGAGAACTGTGTGAAAATTATTTTGATTATTTTTATTGATTTAACCACATTTTCGTGTGCAGGGCAGTGATTGATTGTCAGAGTGTCCGGCTCACCTCATCTGGAGGAACTTTTCCTTGACATGTTCGCACTCTTCACGTGTCTTGCGCAGTGTTCTCTTATGATAGAATGGTGAGGGCTTGTGGGTTCCCTCCGAGAGTTCTTTAAACAGACCCAGCCAGCTCAGGTGCTCCACGCTCTAAACAGAAGCATAAACTCACTGAACAACGCCGCACTCATAAAGCTGTGAGAGTTGCAGAGGATGAAGTTTATTTACTGAGAAGGAATCATAAAAACGGTTCAACACGGTGCTTAACAAGATCAGTGCAGTGTTTCTCATACTCTACTACACCTGACACAGCACACAAGGAGCGTGTTACTTAGTTCATGAGTTGAATCAGGCGTCCTACACTCTAAAAAATTATGGTTCCTCAAGAGTTCCTTAGTAAAGAAAATGGTTTTATATACACCATGAACACTCAAAGAACCCTTTGCATGATTAAAGAGTCCTTTGTGTTGTTAAAGGTTCTTCAGATTGATGTAGAATGTGCCGTAGATGGGGGTTCTATACACCACCAAAAAACATTCTCCTATAGTTACAATGTCAAGCCTGTAGCAATGCTATATAGAACCCTTTTCAAAAAAGTTCTATATAGATTGATATATAACACACTCTCCATCATTCTGAAGAACCATTTCACGATGCAAAGAACCCTTTAATTATGCAAATGCTGTGCTACACGAATGTTTACGTTTACAAATACATATGTAAAGTAAAGGGAAGACCATTTTAAACATAAAGTGTCCTTCACAACAACCTACAAAGGTGTTAAAAAATAACATGTTCTGTCTCTAACTAGACACATCAGTGTGCTTAGTTGAAGAGGACACATTTTATGTTAATTTTTAGAACAAAATATGTTGAAATATTTTTGTGTGTTGTCATTTAACACATCACTTTTAGAGTGTGTGTACATGCTTCATATGCAGAGCATTAATGTGTGAACCCAGAATGCTTGGAACATTCTTTTTCATGAGGCATTCATTACAGGTTAAGAAATGTATTATTTAGTTTTCTAAACCGTTGCCTATACACATTCAATCTTGTGAAATATCTGGAATATTTATTAATATTAAGTGCATTTATTAAAGCACTTTCACAATTATCCACATTTCCTGAATATCATAGGTGGAAGAAAAATGGTAGCAAATAAGCTTTATTAAAAATGAGATGTCATTTCTGTGGGTTAACATATTTTTAATAATATATGTTTTCTTAGGGTCAATGTTGACAAATGAAAAAAAAAAGCTTAAATTTTTAGGAGTTTTAAGGCAAAAAGGCACCCCAATAGTGGAATCACTTGACAGAGCTTGTTTTTAACATTTTGTTTTTTTGATTTTTGTTTTTGTAAAATGACATCAAAGGCAGTGGGTTTCCTCCGGGTACTCCGGTTTCCTCCCACAGTCCAAAAACATGCAGTCAGGCTGATTGGACATGCTGAATTGCCCCTAGGTGTGAGTGTGTGTGTGTGTGTGGATGTATATGTCTGTTTGTCTGCCCTGCGATGGACTGGCGACCTGTCCAGGGTGTATCCTGCCTTTCGCCCGATGACAGCTGGGATGGGCTCCGGCACCCCACCGCGACCCAGAGGGATAAGCGGTTTAGATGATGGATGGATGGATGGACATCAAAGGCAGCCCTCCATGACATTGTAAATGTTAATCATGCAAATTTTACTTGGTTTTTTGGTTGGTTTTTTCCTTTTTTTGCAAAAGAGTGTGAAACACCCAGCAAATGACATGCATTACAGTTAACTCAGACCCAGGATGCCCTGAGGAAAGTCCTTAAAACAAAATTAGAATAGAAAGAGATAGAAAGAGCTAACAACAAGCAGGGACACTGGTGTTTTACGTTATCCTTAATATAACATATGTTGTCCATCAATACCACTAAAACCAAAAATCAACATGGCATATTGGTGTAGACCTACTGCTCAGTGCTATTTACTCATAAAGACATAAACGGCTAACAATTATAAAAACTATGTGTGATGTTTGAAAGGTTGTCTAATCTGTCTACAGTTTCACTGACTGCACCAGCATTTATTAAACATCTATATTTTGTCTTTGGATTGTTGTAGATGGATGTGGTTCTGGGTCAGAGTCAGGAATGTCTGCTGGTGTCTGTATGAATTTGCGTGTTTACCTCTAGCTTTTCTCTGAATGACTCCACCTGTCTCTTCATCTCATAAACAATGGCCGGAGTCTCACCAGCTTCTATAAGAATCTTCTTCTCCAGGCTTTGTAACCTGGTTGAGAAAGTGTTATGAGTGTACACAAAACATATGTCTCAAAAAATGAGGTGAGTTTTCAACAATGCCTACCTTTTCTCCATGGAGGACAGATCAAAGCCCAAGGCCACTGCTAGCTCTGTACCTAAAACAGAGCACAGCTGTAGAGTTAACCATTCTCCTTACAATTCATCCACTTTATAATCCCATTAATCCCATACAATCATTCACATTCACATCATCTACAATCTACTAGCTGTGCAGTACATAAAGAATGGCTACTTCTCTAGTCCACCAGCCCGTCTGTGGCCTGTCCCTGGTTTTAAGGCAGAGAATACCTAATGGCTCACTGTTGCAGTCTGCAGCGACCACCTCCAACTTGTAGCAGGAGTGAGGGCTGTTGGGGGTCAGCTGAGGGGAGATGTTGATGATGTTGCCTTTGGGGTTGTAGAGCTTTAGGATGTCATGAGGGCCAGCTTCAGCTGCTGAGCGGAAAAGATCTGTAAGAGAAGTGTGTGCACACACAAACACTTGATTGTGTACAAAGTCAGGACACAGAGTCACACATATGTCTCATGTGGATTATATTGTTGCAGCTGTAACAAAACTTCACATGTCCAAGAAGCACAGGATGCCAGCCCTGGTCCTGGAGGTCCCCTGCCTGTCCTCCACACTGTAGTGTTTTCTCACTCTAATACACTCACTTCAACTCACTGACTCACTAATGCATGTTGTTTTCATACTTCACATACTTCAAATTTTGAATTTCCACTTTTTTATCTGTAGCCCCATGTTAAAAATACTAGATTTAATCTGATAAATTAAATAATGAAAAACTTGTCTATGTTGCTCTTTTGTTATTGTTTGCCATCTGGTGTTGACCAGGATGGGTTCCCGTTTTGAGTCTTGGTTCCTATCAATGTTTCTTCCTCTTGCTCTTCGGGAGTTTTTCTTGCCAAAATTACCATTGGCTTGCTCTTGGGGGCTTGGACCCAGATTTTTCTGTAAAGCTGCTTTTCAACAATGTCTGTTGTAAAAAGCGCTGTATAAATAAATCTTCAAAAATTCATATTTTTGACACATCATATGATCAAATTTAACAATTCTTCTGATTTGTGCTCTGGGAAACATATGAAAGAAAACTAAGTTTTTATTTCAACTAGCATTTCTATTGGTCCATTAACACAATGTAAAGGCAAGTGTTCATTTTCAAATAGTGTAAAAACAGTTCTAACTTATGATGTTTTTATTTTTTTATTTTATTTTAACATGTCAGCTGAGGTTTCATAGTTTGCTGATTGAAAATTTCACGAAGAATCCAGCCAATAAAATGCTTCAAAACTGATTGTAATAAAACCAATTTACATTTATTTAGATCTAAAGTTAAGAATGTCTTTGCTTTCTCCCATAAAGTGACTATTCTGGGGGGTACATGTTTGTTTGTTTGTTTGCTTGTTTTTGGACAGTGATGTAAGTCGCCTCCTGGTGGGGGTTTACCAGGCACGGCCTACTGGGACAAGATCCCACAGTCGTCCTAGGACCCGCTGGAGGGATTATGTCTCCAAACTGGCCTAGGAGTGGCTAATCCTAAACCTTATCCTAGTCTTAACCTCAGTAACCAAAAAGCAACATTCTATCAGGTTTTTTTAATGAAACAGGCAGATTTTGTAACAAGTACTTAACAAAGCCAGGGCCAGTTTGTTGGTCATAATCAGTAAAATTCAGTACAATTTCAGAACGTTGAACTTTTTCATGGTTAATGATTATAATTCTCACCCTCAACATTATGTGACTCTGAGCAGAACAGGATGAAGAATAGCACATGCTTGATGCACAGCCTGGCACTTGAGCAGAGCTCTGTCAACACCACCTGTGGCCCGTGCTCTTCAACTGAGCACAAACACACACACTACACTCAACACCCCCCAACCACCGTTTTTATTTACACCAACATCTTTCCTTTATAACATAACTAAATTAATCAGTCAAATCAATGTGAACAAATACTGAAGTCTCCATGACCCGACGCTCATTAGACACTATGACTACAGACAGTGTCCAGTTCTAATAGTATGTGGTATGAGGTCATGTATGGTTTCTATCATCTTTCATGCTGTGCTGGTCATTCAGGTCAGCGGACCACCATCATAACAGCATATTCACAGCTGAGGGGATTCCTCACCATCTTCATTCATCTGGACTGATTGTAACAGACTGATTGAAGGGGTCTGGTTATTGACCGAAGCCTCATTTCTACCACATTCACTTCTGAGCTGAGGTTTAAAAAGTGAAGCCTATGTTGATATCGCTGTGGATGAATCAAAGTCACTAATATGCTCTGTATTATTTTATATTATTTTTTTACTTGAATGAGTAAGATTGTATTATATTTATTTGGAACTAAATACAAAAACCAATGACATAATCTGTATACACAGAATGGTACAAAAGTTTTAGCCGCCCAGGAAAATTATATGTAAAATATCTATTTATCTGGGTGGTTAAAATTTATTTGCTCAAAAACAATGATATTATAATAAATAACAATAACACTTATTTATAGGATTTTTAAACAATGTGTTTTTGAACTATTTCCAAACTTCTCCTCGTGGAAGCCCAGTATTAATTGTAGTTATCAACTGATACCTGTTTTGGCTGATCAGTTCTTCTTTATTTAAATTAGATGTGCTAGTAATGGAATTAAAATCAATCAATCAAGCAATCAATCAAGCAATCAATCAATCAATCAAATCTTTATTTATGCGCCATCTTTCCTACAAACAGTTGTAATTAAAAGTGCTTCACAGATTAGCACACAGACAAAGGCCCTGAAAACAGAATGAAAGGAAACAAAAAGCACTGCACTGCCCTCATGTCCTCTAACAGGCTGTTCCTGTGGTGAGAGTCATATATGCTAAAAGCCGCCTCTCCATATGTCTCTGTCTCTGCCCTGGGACTGTGATTAGATTAGTGCCAGAGGAGCTGAGGGATCTGTTTGGTTCATGGAATTGAATCATGTCCAACATATATTTGGGGGTCGTTCATGAATAGATATAAAAAACTGATAAAAGTGTTTTAAAATCAATTCTAATCTCAAAGGGTAACTAGTGGAGGGGCTTTGTGAGTGCTCTCTTTGGTCTTGGTGAGGACATGTTTCTTAAGGAAACCTGAGAGAAGAGCATTATAGTGGTCAATACCCTGCCAATATTTCTAAGATGATAAAACACACATTTTAATATGGATTTCAAAATTTAAATCTGGGTCTAAAAACATCCCAAGATTTTTAACAAAAGACCTGGAATTTTTGTAAAAGATTTTAAAATGGGAGAGAGTTTCTGTCTCTGCACTCTGGACCCAACGACCAGGATTTCAACTGTTCAACAAATCTTTAACTAATTTAACAAATCACTGTGATGGCTAGAGGCATCCAGGAGAAATACGGAACCAAAACTCAAGTTCTTCTAACAAGGGCAAGAAATTTTTGTTCCTTATAACGTTAATTTGTATTTATCCACATTTATTCACTTACAAACACATTTACTGCTGAGTTAAGTGGTTTTAAACAGTTTTCTCAGGTGACTAAGACTTTATTACACCAAAGAGTAACAAATGAAACATGACAGTGAATCAAACTTCTCCTTACCTTTGATGTCTTGTGCAGGACAGTCAACAGGGAACTCCGCCTGCTCGGGTCTTCCATTCACTGTGAAATAAATGATTTTAGTTTCCATGCCAGACGTTGACTCTCCCACACTCCCCACAGCTGAATGAGGTGTTTACAGAGTGACATCTATTTAACACAGTGCCACTCCACAACTCCTCCTCCTCCTCCTCCTCCTCCTCTTCTGTCCCTCCTCTTCCACTCTCATCCCTCTCTCCTTCCTTATTCAGCCTATGCTCTTTGGTCCATATTCAACAAATCATTATAGAGCTACAGGCTGGCAGTCTGCTCTTCACTTCAACATGCTATTAGTAATGTTCATTTAAACATCAGTGCTGTCAGTTAAAAGGCTAAAATCTGAGGTTGTCACAATGTTAAGCTTTTAGGATCTATACAGTGCACAGTGGGGTGTAGTGTGTGTGTGTATATGTATATATATATATATATATATATATATATATATATATATATATATATAAATATATACACTCACTAGGCATTTTTTAAGTTTACATGTCATGTATCTACACTCATTGTCCATTTTTGTCATACACCCCTTGTCAAATGACATTTTATTTTTCTGTTAGGGGTGGACAGTGTGACGATGTTTTATCATTATCATGATAAACTGTGTCATCTGAGCACGTTGTGGATAGCATCACAACGCAAACATAATTAGGCCTGTTTAACCAGATTTAGTGCAGTGTAGTTTGTAAAACACTGAATAAAATTGTTGTAGTTATATAATTAATTATATAATTAATAATAATAATAATAATAATAATAACAACAGGTTTTTGTCTGTTCCTACTCATCAACCTTCAGAAACATGAAATAAAATGATGCATATCATGTATTGTTAATGCACAGTTATGGCTATTTGCTGAATTTAGCGTATTTAGAAAAATGAAACAAAACATAAATCTTTAGAAAATATATATATATATATATATATATATATATATATATATATATATCACATTATCTTCTTCTTCTTTTCTTCTTCTTCTTCTTCTTCTTCTTCTTCTTATTATTATTATTATTATTATCATTATTATTATTTTTCTGAAATTATTGTTGTAGTTGTTGCTATGCCTATGTGCCTTTGCTAAGCTTTTTAATTCTTTATTCCACATAAAACAGCGGTCACCAACACTCCTTCTAGTTCAAACTATCATGTAAAATATTATACCCCATTAGCTGGAGCAGGTGTGACAGACTGTGGTTGAAAACTAAAATGAGGTTGATCAAGCACTTGCAGTGAAGATGGTGCATGTCCAAATACTGTTTCTGAAATAAAAGGCACTAATGAAAATGATCCTCCGCTGAAATTAGTACATACAACATATGGTAGATGTGGAGTTAAGACACATGGAGACACAGTGTATCTTGTTCAAAAAGAAAGATTCATTTTAAAATAAAAATGATTTAAATTCCTAAAAGATGCATTTGTGTGTTTTACATTGATTTTAAAATGGGGAGTTTATCTACTTACTACAGTTTTATTGTTGCCTATTTCATGGAATGACCTTCAGATTCTTGATGAATATGTGGGGATTATTAATGTGACCTGTAACCACGAGTGTGGTGAAATACGGTATACTCCACTTCAGAAGGGGTCGCTGTACTTTACTGTGGTATTCGTTCCGGGACTTTTATTGTGGAAAGTCACGCATTTGCAGCCATGTGTCACGCTGTTCTTCCTCAGTGGAGAAACGTGGTTTGTTGGGCTGCTGCGCTTTGTGTGTGTCTGTGTTACTCTTTAATTATTATACTGCAGTGTCTGTTGTTTGTTGACTTGTTTTAACAATGACGGAGGGCAAGAAGTCCTCGAAGTCGAGCCAGAAGCTGCTCGCCCTGAACCCCAGTGAGGACGCCGAGTTTCAGAAGAAAGTACAGCAAGTGAAGAGCAAAAAGACCCGTCCCGGCTCGGTGAGTGGAGCTCCACCGCGGCGTGTTCAGCGCTCAGTTTTAGCTGAGAAGCGCAAGGAGGGATGCGAGCTGTGCTTCATGGGTTTAAAGTGTTAAGCTGCTTTGTTTTTGCCATCAAGTAGACGAGGCTGAAGTCGGTTTCTTATTCGGCAGCTTCTTGTTCGAATTTTCCCGTTCCACCTTAATTGGTGCAGCAGTTACAGTCTGGCATCTGAGGCCTAAATGTAATTGCTGCACCATTTAAGGTGGAACGGTAAATAATAAGCTGACTTCAGTTTCTTGTCAAGTAAAGAGGATTAGTTTTCTTATTTTCTCTGGTGATCTTTGTCTGTTATACAGTAGAGTTTATCTTGCTTGTCCACACCGTATGAACAATTGCCCTGAACCAATTTTTGGACTGTTGCAAATTCTTAAAAGTTAAATGAATTACGGTACTTGAAGAGCCTAAAATTAATTGAACATCACCCAGTTATTCAAAAGAACTAGACGCTAGGGCTGAGCGATATGGCAAAGATATGACATCACGATACTTCAACAAATTTTGATGATACAGGATATCGTGATATCTCTCATGGTTGATAATTGGAAACAGACAAAATATGCCAGTATATGGGAATTGTGGGGTAAAGCTGATATCTGATGTTTTTCATTTAGCTACATATCTTATGCTATATAAACGTGTATAAAATATATTACAGAACTGTAGCATTTATGTCTTTAGGGTTGCAAATGCAGTAAAATGAATAATATACGGATATGTTGGCCCAGTAACCTTCTTTTCTGGAGTACGATAAGTACATCATCGAATCACATGTCGATATCCTGACTGAGCTCAGAATTTAGTTTACAGTGGTAGTCACATTGTCCACCTCTGGACTGAAAGCAATCAAAATATATGTAGAACAATTTGGATGTAACACTAAATCTTGACGTTAGTTTACTTGGTAGTATGGCAAAAATATAATAACACAGTACTTTACGAAAATCCAGTTAAAAAGGCCTATTTACCTCTTTATAAAGAATCATATAGTGATTTTATGTTGTTTTAGTTCTAATTATATCCACAATATGTTCAGGTTATCTATGCTTCACAGTAATGTGTGTCTATGTTCTGCATTTCCCTCCTCTCCATGTTTCCTCTCAGACCCTGAAGCCAGGAGTGGTGTATGTGGGCCACCTTCCCCAAGCCTTGGCTGAACCGCAGCTCAGAGCTTATTTCTCACAGTTTGGCAAAGTTAACCGGTTAAGAATTTCCAGAAGTAAAAAGGTACTTTTACTGTAGCTGTCAGTGTTGTCTGCTGGACGTTTGGTAGATGGCACAATCTGAAAATTACCTTCAGCATGACTGTTGCTGTGGGTAAGATAATTGTGCCTACAGAGAAGTGGTACATTAAGCTTATTGCCAACTTGATTTAGCTGTGCAATGAAACCCATGTGCCTACAAGAAGTGTAAATGTTTTGTAGCTGTCTTATTATCATAAATTATTTTTTTTGTGGATTGATCTCTCCTTCATTTACAGACTGGCCGAAGTAAAGGCTACGCCTTTGTGGAATTTGACTGTGATGAGGTAGCTAAGATTGTGGCTGAGACCATGAACAACTACCTTATGGGGGAGAGGCTGATCAAATGTGAGTAGATTTTGGTTACAGCTGTGCAGGGAAAATTTGTTGCTAAGATCACTTTTGTGATGCGTACAGGTGAAGTGATTCCTCCTGAGAAGGTTCATGAAAAGCTCTTTGTTGGTTCGCGGAAGATGTTTTCAAAGCCCAAACAGCCTGCGGTCTCTCGCTATAATAGAGATCATGATCCAGAACAGATGAAGAAACTTACTGGAAAGCTTCTACACAAAGAAAACAAGCTTAGAAAGAGACTGGCAGAAAAAGGCATCGACTACGATTTTCCAGGCTTTGTAAGTAGAATTCTGTCGTTTCAAATTATGTTTTCTCACTTTGTTCTTTGGATTTTTGGATGAAATAAATAACTGCAATAATTTCACAGGCAGCTCAGGTTCCAGCAAAGAAAGCTCAGTCCAGTGCTGACACATCAGTCTGCAGTGAGGTAAGCTGTTTCAGCATGCAGATGATGTTTTGTTTCTCTCTTTCAGCTTTAAAAGTGCACAACGTTCAGGTCCCACATACAGCTTGGATACTGTCAGTTTGGCATAGGCGAGCTGGTTTATGCCGCATAGTCTCCTAGCATCTAATCACAGAATTTTATTGAAAATGTATTTTTTTTCCTGCGGTCTGAGATATTAGTTTGGGGAGAGATTAGTTTTATTAAAATCTGTGTTGTCCTTCTGAAAAGGCAATAATGAAGGGAATCGTCTAGTAAAATGAGTAAGACCCCTGCTGGAAGCTTATAGACATAAGCTATATAAACTACTTCTTCATAGAACTATATAATCAAGTGGATTTCTACATGGGTTGTCTTAGAGACCTGACAGTCCAAACAGTATTTAGTGTTGATACAAAAAGGTTGTACGGCATAACTTTTCATGGAACTATTAACACTTTTCATATGCATTTCTGTAGAAGTATAGTTAAATGAATCCTTGACTCAGTATGAACTGTAAAGCAGTCATACATGAGCTCTCCTCATATAAAGTAACTGACTGTAAACAAACTGTCAGTCACAATTGCACTTCTTGAAATTTAAGTGTTTAGAAAATATTTAATGTAATGTATTCACATTTGTAGTCTATTTTAAAGATAATTCTGTGTAATATTACATGAGCCCCTGTGTGTTTGGTGATGCCACCTATGCATGATGACACTGGTAGCCATGAAGGGTCTACCACCCAACCTGAAAAAAATCTACCGAAAGCACTGCATGGCTTGTCAACAAGCTGTAGGTAATTGTACATTATTTGAATGGCAGCAGCTGCTGAGAACTCTGAGGATATGGAATAACACATTTCTAGGCACAGTCTGAAAATTACCCCAGTTGTTTACGTTTTCTGGAGTAAGATAACTGTGCCAACATAAAATTGGTACATTAAGCTTATTGTCAGCTAATGTAGCTGCACAATGAAACCCATGTGCCAACATGCCAGTGAAATTAAAGACCTGCTCATGAATCAGTGCAGAGTTCCCATTGATTCGTAAAGTTTTTAGTAATTTAAGCTCATAAAATAATAATGTACTAAAAAACAACAAAAAAATTATAATGTACTAAATTTCTTTATTTTCTACTTTAGAGGTATAAAATATTAAGCTGATGCTTTAAGACCTGGTTGAAAGGAGTCATTGTGTATGTTAAAGGGGAATTCCTCTGAGTTAAAAAAAAAAATTTGTAGTTAAATGGTTACGATGTAAACAAAATCATTGAGTGGTTTGATGTGAAATGTTCTATCACAGAGAAACTTGCCATGTCAGAATTGTTCATAGTGGTGGTGATAGGAACCAGACATCTGAAGAGTTCAGTGCCTCTAAATGTTCCTTCACAGAAAGTTGCTACATGAACTGGTTGAAAATTTGCTGCTTGATGCCTGAGTTTTTCAATACTTTTGAGAAAGTTTTGGTCTAAAACATTTTTTAAATAATTTAAACTCATGGTAGAGGAGTGTGTTTCTGGGTAGTAAATAAATGGCTTTGTTTGCTTTGTATATGTCATGAACTCCTGGTTCTTCTTATCACCACTGCAAAGAAATCAGCCAGAAATCAGTAAGGTTTTATACAGTAAACCATTTCACATCGAACCACTTTAAATGATTTTCATCTCAGTAACTGAGTTCTGCAGAATGAGTGGAATTGCCCCTAAAGTAATTCAGAATAGTTCGCTAGCCGATGGTGGTCCTGTGTTTCAATAAAGTAAACATTAAAACATGACTTATTTGCGTTAGTGTGCACTCTTGTGTGGTGAAAATTGTGTTGTAATAATTTTCCTGTTTTGAGATCTTATATTTACAAGTATTGATTAGACCAGTGCTTTTTAATGATTCAGCTATGGTTTGTAGGACGCCACGCCTGTATGCACCCCTTCAGTCCTGGAGAAGAGAAGGTCAATGAAAGTAGACGACGATGACGTTGATGATGAGGTTATCATCAAAACGCAGCCTAGATCAGAGAACAGTAAAGATGTTGAAGATTGTGAAGACACTGTGGAGGAGAAGGAGGAGGATGATGAGGAAGAATCGGAGGATGAAGATTAACAGCCAGAAGACGACAAAGGATCAGATGGTGTGAAGGCTTGAACCTCTGTTCTGTAGAGGGACTTGGAAAAAATCCTCCTGAACTGCAGTGTCTGTGGTTGTATATAGAACTTTCTCAGTTCATCCTGCTGATCTACAGGAGAGAAACACACAGCTGATGGCCTCGTTGTTCTAACCTGAGGAACTGTTTCAGCATTTGTACATGTTTAATTGAAACGTTTTTATGCAGATGTTTTATCTGTGACCTTGTCATGGCTATGGTTTAGCATGTCAGCTGCTTTGTTAAAGCAGACAAGCAGACTTCAAACACAAGTCAAAATAACCATAGAATCATACAGAAAACTGTACATACCACCTGTTTAAAAGGGTGTGCTTTTTTGTTTTTTTCTGAAGTGGTGTTAATGCTTTACAGCAGAGGAAAGTGTGGAGCAAACACCAGGACTACACAGCAGAACCTGCTAGAATACAGAATGCAGAACAGATAGAAGATATATGTTATGGCTGGGTGTAGGGTGGGTTATATAATATTGTGATAAATTGTCACAGTATGCTTTTCTGAGAATATCATGGATATCTTCAGGACTTTAACCACACTGAGCAACTGTATCATAAAGTATAATGTATATTTGTTTCAGTTTGTGGAATGAATAAACAAAACTGTTGTACCTAAAGCTGCAGTTATGAAGTTTTGGGGATTTGGAGACCTCTCTCTTGGAAATGAGTAACTACATGGCATGTGTGGAATAACATTTTGTAATATTGGTTGTGCTTCGGACCCTGTCTCTGAGTCAGTGAATCTGAGTGTGTTGAGTGTACAAAGAAAATTCAGTCAAAACTTGAAGGATGTGTATTATGTACTGTTGTCAACATCTCTTCATTAGTATAGTGCTGATTTTGCATTTGAGACCTGAACATTGAGCCAGACCTTCTTTTTGAGCCTGAACATCTGACGTTAATACATAAAGACAGGTGCATGACTGTCCAAAAATCTAAATCGATCCAATGCAACGGACATTTTAAATAAAATTTCAGGTTCTTCAGGATGACTTGCATCAGTGAACACGTTACTGTGTTTTTTTCCTCCTGACTCAGTATGTATTCAATTTAAACAGAAAAATGTACATAGTGCAGCTTTAATTATATTGTTAAGTTGTTGTCATTTATGTATATAATTGCCCACCCCTTAGTCATGTGGCTTTCTGGAGGCCTGTGCTGCTGTATGTTTGAGTTCAATTTAACAATTTTATAGAGGAGAGTGGAAAAATATCTTCAGCTGGGATTTAGTAAGTAGAAGAAAAAATAAAGGTCAGAAAAAAAGAATATGTCCCTAGTAACAAGGTTTATGGCACAGTGGGAAAAAAAATTGGACTACAGGGAGAACAGGCCGTAAAACAGGCTTGTCAAAGTCAACCAGGGAGGTATTTTGGAAAGCAGGATTTCTCAGACTGATAATTTTGTCCAATAGGAGATGAGCTAAAGAACACTCCTTTTGGACAATGCTCAAACTTTGGATTTAGTGATCCAGTTTACTGAGAAATCCCCTCCAGTTTTGTGGACCCCTTGGTCTCAGGACTGTACAACACAATGATGACCCATACACAGATTAGTGTAGGTGTTATTTAGGCCTAAAATGTCAAAGCAGTGAGTAACCATACAGAGGGGCTTTCCACACTTAAGGCTGATCTTCATTGTACTTTCATTTAAATTCATAAACATCTAACAATTAATACACGTGGAATTAACACGAAGTTCACGTTGCTCAATAATATGAGCCTTGAAAAGACCTTGCTAGTGAGGTTGATGTTTGTGTCTGGTAGATATTTAGCGTGGAATAGAGAGGAGATTTAGAGCAGTTCCCAAACCCCCCGGGATAAACCGTGTTTAGACTTTGCGAATATTAAAATGCTGACAGTGTCGTGTAGCGAGCCCTGATCGTTGTGGATAGTAATTATATTCTTGGGGTGATTTTAGAAACAAAGGCTAGTGTTGAACTTCCTAGAGTAACCACGAGGAGGCGCCAGAGCTATTTTAATATCTACTGTCTGGGCTGTTCGACGCGACCTCCCAAGACTGTTAAAGGGAAATGCCACCGCGTTTCAGAATTATTGCATAATTAGGGGGTTAAAATGTAAACGTAGTCATTCCGGGTGGCTTAATGTAAAATAATCCTCTGTATAGGAACTTACTGACTCAGAATGGTTCACAGTCGAAAAGATTAACGCCTCTAAAAGCTCCATCACAAAACGTCATTGCATATAGTTATTATAGTTACGCTGCCTGATGTTTGAGCCACGGTTTAACTACAGTTTTCAGACAAGGTTTTGGCCTAAAACGTCTTATTAATCCGCGAATTTTAATTGATTCATGACGGAGGGGAACCTGCAGGGGTTGTAAGGCAAAATACGCCCCCCCCTCAAACTTTTTTTTGTTCAGGTTTCTCACTGTTTTACCCTGAGTCTGTAACTTTCTCTACGATGAACCATTTTAAAACAAACCACTCTAAATGACTTTGTTTACATTGCAGCGACAGAATTATGCAACATTTTTTGAAAAGTAGAAGTAAGTAAAAAAAGCTATTTTGGTGTTCTGTATTTTTGTATTTCCCTCCGCTGACCCCATGATAAATATGTGCCACTCCAGGTGGCTGTAGTTTGTGGTCTGTAGCTGTAGTGATCTTTATAAAGTTATGAGTTATGAAGTTTGAATATTCCGTTCAGCGCTCAAAGCCTTGTCGTAATGTGCTGATTTTTGGCGCATGCGCACACGCAGAGCCCGTCATTGTCCACACAGCACTGAGAGCGGAGCGGCTCCTCCATGCTGCTCTTATCTTTCTGTGTCCGAAACCTGTTCCGTTTTTCTTCTTAAACGCACAAATCTGCAGGGTGAGTCAACACGCTATGATTTTCCGGCGGCCTCGTCACATGTACGCGTTCAGTGAAAGCGCATTTGAGCCTGTCAGTGAGCTGCAGCGGTGTTGTGTGTGAGCTAACGCTAGCGGGGTTAGCTTTGGGAATAATCAATGAAAACGCCAGTGAGCTGCTGTCAGATTTGGCTTCAGACCCACATTTATAAAACACCCCTAACGTCGCTGTTGACGTTGTTCGTGTTACTGAGGATATTATTAACCGTGAATCGTATTTATATATGAGTTATATCCCTCGGGGCTGGCACAGTAGCGTAGTAAGTGTTGTAGTGAGGCTCTTAGCCTCTGGCTAACGCTAACAGGACGATGACAAGACTCACCAGGACACAATGCAGAGACCACTGCCTGCCTTCCAGCGTTAATTTTATTATTGTTCATGAAAGATAGCTCATGTTTTAGTACTCACCCTTTAGTTAGGTGTCTTTAATTTTGAGCTCTAATCTTGTTCACAGGTACATTTGTATAGTTTTCTTTTTGTTCTTACGCTTTATTGTGTTTATGTTAGCTACCCTCCGCCGTTTCCCTGCCTGTTAAAGCTTCTAGACAGTCAAATAGACTTAAATTATATCGAAAAAATAGTCAAACGACCAGGTAACAACGTTATACACATAATTTAAGCAGGTAAAACTGAACCTAACCAGAAATAAAAGGGATTTTAGGATCATTAATGTCTCAGCACATAATACATGTCTCAAACAGAGGTTCAGTTTAAGTGACGGCAAGTTAACTTAGTCGTCCTGGTTCAGTTTGTTTGTATTTATGTGTATTTAGCCATGGATAGCTTTATTCGCAGCACCAGTCACTGTAGCTTTTTGATGGCATTAGAGTAACGTTAATGCATAAACCGCAGCGGATAATCTCTGACCCTCATGTCTCAAGTCCAGTTTTTTGTGATGACTGTGGAGGTGTGGTAGTCTATGTGAATTTCTGTTTTGCTTGTTTGCTGAGATGTCTTAGCTGTCTCTTTCAATCAAAGTAACAGCTGTTTTGAAAGTGTGGAAGTGGACCGTAGAGGGTGTGTAGCAGAGATCAGCAGATTAAAACCTGTAAAACTGCAGTTCAAATGCCGTTCTATTCGAGGAGGTGTGCACATTTTAATAAAGGCAATGTTCTGCCTGTTATTTTAGGTGGAATTGTCCTTGTTTTTCTCCGAAAGGTTCCACACAACAGCAGTACAAAAGCTGATATGTGATATTATATATGAAAGTAATCATTAATGAGTAGGGGCTTAAAGTGACATTGCATAGCCAAATGCAATGCACCCAACTGTATGTCACTCTCTTACCATGCAACATGCTTATTAAACTCCACTGGCGTGTCAGAGGTTAATCTTTCTTTCCGTTCTATTGATCATAGGCAGTACAACAGCAGAGGACTACTGAATTATGAAGCAGTGTTCCAGTGGACCCTCCCTCTCGAGCTCTAGTTACCACACTCAATGCTGCTCCCAGGCTCATCGGTTTTGCTGTTGGTAGCTCTTTGGCTGGGTCTATCAGAAAGAAGAAAAGGAGAGTTCACAATTCATATCAGCTGTTGTCTGGGCACATATGGTGCATTGCTGCCATTCCCAAGCCTGCATCCCCAAGGCTCAGCCTCTTGCTAGCCTGCAGTGCACATAGGATCTGGCCTCAAATTGGATATTAATACATTTAGTGAGTTTTTTTTTTTTGTGTTTGGTTGTTTGATTTTGAGGAAGGCGTGGCATCAGGCATTAAAGAACTTGTTTAGTTTTTCACCCCACTGCCTCTGAGGTGGTGGTAGAACGACGTACGCCATGGAGCCCAATATGGAGTACTGTTTGGCACAAGTGCTACAGAAGGATGTGGGCCGGAGGCTGCAGGTGGGTCAGGAGCTCATCGACTACATCAGTGACAGGGACAAGTCCCATGATCTGGAGCAGGACCAGACCGCGCTAGATAAAATGGTGGATGGCCTTGCCACCTCCTGGGTCAACTCCAGCAACTTCAAGGTAAGAACACTGTTTGTTAAACTCCAGGCTATGGCCTGCAGATAAACGTTCTGTTTCAGGATTTGCAATGATTTTGGTGGAAGATTGTTTACTGGGCTCAATGACTATTTTCCTGAAACTGGCAGTAAAGACAATCCCATAATCGATCCTGTAAGTGCAATCACCTCAGATGGCACTGGCTTTTTGAGGACACTGTGAATTTGCACTCATTCATGTTGACAGGTTCCATGATCAGTCGCAAAGCAAGAGCCATCGTTGTGTCAGTAACAATTTAGGCTGGCTTTAGGCTCAGTTATTTCTTTATTTCTTTTATTTTTCATTTTCTTTTTTTCGTAGCAAGGACTGAGTTTACATTGCGGGGTATTCCTTTCAGGATATTTTTGTAAAATAGTAGATAAGTGCATGAATGCACACAAAAGCACCCATGTACATGAAGTAGAATACAAGGTAATGTTTAAGACTGTGGTAGTTTTTATGCTTGAGTGCTAGAATCCATTCTCAGTATGTCTCTTAGCTGAGTGGTCCCTTAGTGCAAAGTCATACTGGCCACAGCATGCTGCTCTAATGTCTGCTGTAATTAATGGAGCTATTGTCTGGGAATTGTGCCAGAATTCATCTTAGAAACAATGTCGGGGCACTTTCCCTTTGAAACATGGACCAGGCTACACTCTGATGTTGAGTGGCCAGTTTTTTGTCCACCTTAATATTGTGAATCTCCGTATTGTGAGTTCAGTTTTCTTGTGTCATTATTAAACGGTTATTTTGTCTCAGGTCTGCTTATATTTTTATCTTCATGGCCACTTTATCCAGCCCTCGAGCAAGACAGTCAAACAATCAGTCCTATACAACCATTCCCTTACTTCTTTCTAAAAGCATCTAACAGCTTTGCTTTTATCATGGGATGGGAACACTAGATAACAACCACAATTGCTCCCTATGAAGCTGTTCTCATAAGCTGTTGGCCCTTAGAGCTGGTTAAAGGGCTCATGGTCAGCTGAGGCTCTGTTTTTGGCAGGCGTTTGAAACAATAATTAGACTGGAAAGCAATTGATGGAGCTTGTTTCATTCATTTTTCTGCCCTTGTTTAGTCATAATTAACAAAGTCCTGGCCTTTGTGAGTACAGAGGGATTTCAGGACTTCAGTAACGTCATGTATGAGCAGTAGCCATTATTATTTATGTATAATTTGATGTACATTTTCTCCTGTTACCTTATTCTTGGAATGATGCTTAATATCTGGGGAATTATTTTCAGAAAGCAGCCTATTGATTTTTAAGCTTAGATTTGGCTCTTGGACAGAAAAGCCATTCACTATTTCTACTGTCTGGCACTGAATTCATTCAGATTTAATGGCAAACGCTGATCTCAAAGCGTGTCTTAGCATAGACTGTATTTAATGAGGTGAGCAGTGTGCAAACTAAGTTAGTAGTAACACCTACGTATATTGGGTCAAGCTTCACAAAATGCAGTATGACAGTATATGTAATATCTTTTCTTGTAATGTTCTGTTAACCTTGTACAGTCAGCCTGAATCTCTGTGGTGCAAAGTGAAAGCGTCTATGATTTCATATGATTTGAAGACTTATGCTAACCTTACACCAAAAGACTCGGAAAAGACTTGTAGAAGACTAAGTCTGACACCCTCTCACATTTATAGACAATGTCACAGAGTTTTTAATTAACCTGTAAAATGTGCAGTTATTATTTTATTTAATGTAAGCGTTTACACATCAACAAAACATGCAGCGATTCCACATTGTTGATTGGGTGTTATGAACTAAACCATAAAAAACAAACAAACTGACTTAAGACAGCTATCCTGAGCACCTTATATCAAACAATCGGGATGACAAGAGCGTGACATAACTGTAACAAGGCTCTTATGATTTTATTCCAACATTGGAAATTTATCTGCAACAGTGAAATTGCTTGCAAAGTTGTTTGGTGTAAGGCCAGCATAACAAGTGTACAAGGTTGTCCTGTCATTGAGCTGTTTTGTGTCATCAATGACCCACATGTTCGCCCTTGCCCTGCCAGGATAGTAGCTTTCCAGCAGTAGGGAAGATTTTGATAGTGGATGGGAATTAGCAACAAATTCTATGTCTTCAAATGTTCTACAAGAAACAGAAAAGCACAAAATATGTTTCACTTGATTGATTAAATAAAAAATACAAAACTACAAAACGCAGAAGAGAGCTGCAATTTGAGATCTAATACAGACTGTTAGGAATGGAGTCTGGGCAGCCCTGCCTCTGACTACTGCAGAGATGCCACTGTGCCTTTGACAAGCATTTGACTGACCATTAACAAAGGCTAACCATAAGTCACTGTTTTCCTGGGATGTGCAGGCAGATTATCTTGCTGTCTTTAGATTCATAAACACAACTTTGTTTCTCATTGGACTGATAAAAACTGATGCACCAAAGAGTGTGCTTTAATTAAAAAAGGTAAATGTCCCAGTTATTCAGATTACTTTCCCTTTTTTTAATATGTAATTATCGCATTTTTCAGACAAATTCAGAGTTCTTTGCAGCCGTAGTTGTTTTGCGCATTTTTCTTTGTGACTGTTATTTTCTTCTCTTCCCAGACACTTTGTTGTCTGCAGACATATGCTGCTGTAATTTCTTTGTATATTGGATGGTCTGTATTCTCACTGCACATGACATTAAACTTGACTTGACTAGCAACACTCTGGGTTGATTCTCTATCTAAACAAGATTTTCTCTTTACATCTTTATTGTTGCTCAGGTCTGTCAGCCGTGAATGGTTTTGAGGAATGTGTGGCAAATGGTGACACTGCAGTGCGCTTCACCCACAGCAGAATATTCTGCCTTTAAGCAGATTAAAGAGGAAATATGCTGTGCTGGGGGTACTGAGGCTTTCTCTGTCCTTCTCTGTGCCACCCTTGGCATCATTGGTATTAGGAAGGGCAGTGTCTCCGCTGTGGCAGGCGGCCGTCTGACTCTGCCTTACGGCTCCTTTTGATTCGGTTCAGCTCAGGCTCGAGCTGCATGAGCTGTATTAAAGCATTTATTTTGAAAGTCTGCTTAACTGACAACAGCAAATTAACCTTTCAGCCTTCATGGTAAACTCCCTAAATGAAGCATGCCCAAATGTGAGATACTATGCTCACATTTCTCTTAATTGCTGACTTGCTCAGCTCTTGTCTTTGAACTCTGTATGTCAGATACATAACTTTAGTATTTACTACTGTCATTATTGCCATATTAGAATATAGATATCTTGATGGTAGGTTAAGGTTCAGGAGCATTTTGTGTTTGGCCTCACAGTTCTGAAAATAAAATAATCCTGTATATCCCTTTATTAATAGCTTGATTGACTGTGATGAAGTTTTCTTCTTACAGTCTTACAGTGACAGTATGGTTGTATTGGCTAGTGGGGAACTTTGCTCCAAGAGCTGTCTGTGTTTGGTGAAGCTATATTGGCTCCTAGGGCTGCATGATGTGGATATAAAATGCAATACATGATAAGTTTTTGTCCTGTTATCATATGAAATGATAAATTATGATAAACATGATTTCAATGTGTCTTGCGTCATAAAATTGTTAGGAAAACAGCATTTCTTGAACAGCTTTTCTTAAGAACGCCTCCAAAATATACAAAAATGTAAAACATAATAAGTAATATAAGTAATATATAAATAGTTTCTTCAGAAAGATCCTTATGGTGATACAGGTTTGTTGTATTCCCCATGCTGCTAGCCACCGCTGCTTGACACGTTTTGGGATTCAAAACAGCTGTCTCGTTTAAATAGTTGTACTGCTATTCATGTGCATCTGTTTTGAAAGTGGTTGGATGGTGTGGTGGAGGAGACACTTATCCAGCAAGAGACTGGGGTTCGATTCCCTTTTCAGACAGGAGTAGCACATGTAAGATTTCACTCTGACCATGTGTGCGGGTAAAGCCTGCTGTAAACTGTGTGATAACAGCAGTCTTATATGTTTATTGCATGCTACACTGAGTGAGATGCTGCAACTAATATCTTAGCTGAATTCTGTGTCAGATTCTGTGACATCAGTGATGCTCACATGAGGTAAAAGTCAGATTATCTGATTTTATCATGCAAATGCAGTTTTGACTTCTTACATCCTCACACTTTCTTTCAAAGACTTCCTATTTTAACTCACGATCAAAGAATTTTCATGATTTGCAGTGTTTGTCCACGACAGCATTATGTGGTGAAAACTGTACATTGTCAACCTGCCTTGATGTAGCCTTTCTGTTCTCACAGCCCTTTGCAATGAAAAAGTATGCCTTCCTTGCCTTCCTATTAGTGTATGATTGTGCAATAGGGGAACAACAGGATATTCACTTCGAAGCCAAATCCGTATATGTCTAGCGGCTCTTTGTCAGTCTTGGAGCAGAGTGTTGATCGTAGCGTGTGCATGCGCAGAACTGTCTCATGACCCATGGCTGATCAGTGTGTGACGAGTGTGGAGCCAGGCTGGCAGCAGGAGAGCGCCATGATGCTACTGATGCAGGAGGCAGGGGAGGATGGGATGCTTAAGGAGTGGAAGAAGAGTGTTAGTGGCTGCTGCACCATGTGGCTTGGAATGTGCATAGTAGTTAATGCATAATTCATAGAAGTGGCTAACAGATTTATCCTTAAGCCACTGTTTGATTTGCAAAAATGTAAATATATGACTGTAAAAGTTGTTAATGTTTAATGATGTCTTTAAACAAAAATGTCATATTATTGGGGTAGAAAGTCTGATCATCAAATTAGTGGCACTCTTTCTGACTCGAAAAGAAGGGGGGGGGGGTCCCACAAGATGTGTAAGTAGCTAAAAGGCTATATGCATGTAAATGATTTTATTGCAGTATTTTGTGGATGAAAAATAGTACAAATGAATGGTCAGCCTTTATTTGTAAGCAAGAGAAAGCAGGAGCATCACTTGGACAGAAGGCAGGTGGTTATCTGTGACAGACTCACTGCCAGAATGCTCTAATTAAGCAGCTTAGCCCAGGTAGATACACCT